GATATGCTCTTAGCTTTTGTACCTTCCCCCCAGGCCTGGTTTGCTTTCTTAATTCATGAAGCTGTTACCCCTTTCATAAGTGTCTATTGAACTTGGGACAATATTGACAAGAAACAAAAATTATGAAGACACCAACTTTCATAACCTCAGTGGCCTCTGACTTATTCCTTTGGGATTCTATTTGAAGCAGTCCTTATATGTGATAACAAGGATGAGAGCAAGCCCTCTCACCAGGAGTTGGACTGCGAATCATTTGAATGCAGTGTGGTTTTCACATCTCTACTAAATTAGGATATGTTAGATAAAGGAATGTGTTGTGATTAAAACAACCTGCATCAGGGATATGGGTGTAGCTCAACAATAGACCACTTGCATAGTATGCACAAAGTCTTGGTGTTGATCCCTAACAGTGCAAAAACAAAACAAAATAAAAAACAACCCAAAACCTTAAAATAGACAAAAACAAGAACAAACAAACAACCCTTAAAAATAAAGCAACCTGGGTCTGTGGTTGCATAGTTCAGTGAACACTTCTGAAAGGGATAACAGCTTCGTGAATTAAGAAAGCAAACCAGGCATGGGGGAAGGCACATCTGAGTCAGCAGATGCCAAGGAGAAGAGTATCAGGTGTGGGCAGTGACATGAAGATGTACCACCAGCTAGGGCCAGGTGCAGCTCTCTACCTCCTGCATGCAGTTCCTTACCTCCTGGGGGCGCCCACAGCCACCACTACTGCAGTGGTTGTCAAAGATCATGCCAGTCAAGAACACCATGGGGAGAAAGAAGATGCCTTAGCCAGTGCCATGTGCCACAGCTCTCTCTCTCTCTGCATTGCCATAATCATTGAACATTTCATAACATTTCTTCCTGCCTGGCAGAAATCTAGCAAGATAGTCATACCTCAGAAGTTGCAAAGTATTACCAGAAAACTAGAAGATGCTGCATCAGAGTTTGTATCTTAGTTTTGCAGAACTTCTGCCTTAGGTGCTACTAACAGGCTAAATTAAAATAGACTTTTGGAAACAGCAAGAATATATGGAGCTTCTAAAGAAATTATATGATCACAGGCACTTCATCAATTTGATGTAATATGACATTTTGTTTCCTGTTAAAATATGACATGAAACAAAACAAAACCTACCAACCTGGCTTAGTGTCCCCACAGCATCAGGGTCAACAGTAGCTTGGGCTTGTTAAGAATAAAACTTAGAATCCTTGTTTTGGAGCTGGGCATCATTTTGCACACCTTTAGTCCCAGCAATCGGGCAGAGGCAGGCAGATCTCTGAGTTCGAGGCCAACCTGGTTTACAAATCAAGTTCTAGGACAGCCAAGACTGTTACACAGAGAAGCCCTGTCTCAAAAAAAAACCAAAACCCAAAAATTATCCTTGTTTTGGTACAAGATAGAGTTGAAATACATAGCTAAGAAACATTTCACTTACTAAAAACAACAGAAAAGGCAAGAAAACCACTTCTGTGGCCCTCCTCTACCTCCCTTGGCTTGGAGTTTCTGCCATCTGCAGGTACCCAAGTGTGACTCAGACTTCCTGTGTTTGGGCTTGATTCACACATGAGTCATGCTTCTCAAGAATAATGTCTCTGCGGGCTTCCCTCCGGCTCGGCAGGATTTTGTTTGAAGCACAGTTGTAAGACCTTGTCGCTGTATTGTTCACTTCTCTCTGTGCTATCTAGCAGTGTCACAGCAGTTAGGGGATCTTGGCAGATCACCTTTTCATCCTTCTGCCTTTGTACGTTTTGTACTGGAGACTGAAGCTAGCACTTTGTGTCTACTAAGCACATATCTACCTGAATTATGTATCAATAACCTATTTAAACAGTAAATGGGATTGCAATGTAGCTCAGTTGGTAAGAGTGCTGGGTCCTGGGTCCCATCCCTAGCACTGCTTGAAAAACTGCGCTTAGCAGTAGTAGAAAGCCAACAGTCAGATAGAAAACTAACTCAGTGGTGTCTTTGGAGGCTCTGTATCTTAAAATGTCACGTCAGGGCTTTTTTAAAAAATTATCTTATTTTTATATTATTTTATTATATATAATAAATATATATTTATTTCTATATGAATAATTGTATATAAATATCTAAATAAATATATGTATATCCCTCTTTTTACCCTATAGGTCCTTTGCATATATATTGTTACTTCCAGCTTAGTGTTTTCATTGAGATTCCTGATGGTGAATGAGTGGGTCTCAGCATCTATATCTGTTTCTTATGCCTTTTCTTGGGCTCTCTTCTGTTTGTTTTATCCTGTTCTGATGTGTTAGTTTTTATTTTATCTTATTATATTTTAATATGATTCCTTAGAAGCATGTTTGCTTTCTAATGAGAGACAAAAAGGGGATGGATCCAGATGGTAGGGAGGTGGGAAGGAACTGTGAGGACTAGAGGGAGGGGAAACCATAATCAAAGTTTAGTATGAGGGAGGAAAAAAAAATGTGTTTTTTTCCCCCCTTGGGGTGTGGGGGGGAAGAGTTTCTCTTTTTGTCTTTGTAGACCAGGTTAGTCTTGAACTCAGAGATCTTCCTGCCTCTGTTACCCAAGTGCTAAGATTGAAAACATGCACCACCATGCCTGGCTTTTATTTTCAATAAAAGGAAAAAAAAAAATCCAAGCAGGAGAAAAAAAAAAGAAAGAAGAAAGCCTGGACTTGGTGATTAGAGTTGGCTTAGCAGTTAGGAGCACTTGTTGCTTTTCTAGAGGACTTGGGTACTCACATGGTGGCTCGTAACCATCTGTAACTCAAGTTGCAGGGGATCTTACGCCTTCTTCTGACTTCTGTGGGCACCAGGCACAGACATACGTGTAGGCAAAACATTTATAAAATTGAGTAAGTAAACAAGCAAACAAACAAATTGGCTTTGGTGGTACAGACCTTTAATTTCGGCACTGGGGTAGAGGAAGGAGGAACAGAAGTCCAAGATCATCCTCCCCTACATTGCAAGTTTGAGACCAGCATGGGATACGAGAGACCGTGTCTTGAAATGGTAAACAAACAAAAACCAGTGTGGAGGCATTTCACTCTTTAATTCACTGTTTCCTGAATGAATACTGGTGTGGAATCTATTTTTATGTCCTCACTTGCCTTCTGTGTATGGTGTTTAAAGTGTCCATTCACATAATTTTGTTCACTTATTTATTGGGTTGTTAATTTTCTTCCTCTTGATTTTTGAGAGAACTCTCCATATTCCAGATTATCTGATTTTCAAGTGTTTAGTCAGTCATTGCTTTTTTTTTTTCAAAGATTTCACAAGGAATTTATAAATATTTGTTATCCTTAAAAGAGATTCAAGTGACACAGAATATATATGGAATAAAAGGTACAATTTCTGGGGCTAGAGAGATACCTCAGCAGTTAGGAGCATGTGCTACTCTTGCGGAGGACTTGGGTTCCATTCCCTGGATCCACATGGCAGCTCACAGATGTCTGTGAGGATCTGATGTCCTCTTCTGTCCTCAATGTGCGTCAGGCACAACCAAGATACACATATGTATGAGTAGGCACTCATACACATAAAACAAAGAAAGCTTTAAAAAAGACAATGCCAGGCGGTGGTGGTGCACACCTTTAATCCCAGCACTCGGGAGGCAGAGCCAGGCAGATCTCTGTGAGTTCGAGGAAAGGCGCAAAGCTGCACAGAGAAACCCTGTCTCAAAAAACCAAAAAAAAAACAAACAAACAAACCAGAATTCTGTTCTTCACCTATCTCCTCCCTTAGTTTTCCATTTAGAGAGAGTTAATGTTGGTTGGTTTTGAGACTCTTTTCAATCCTTTTTTATAATATGATTTTCTAATAAATAGGTATGTTTTCTAAGTGATCTTTTTTTTTTTTTTTTTTTTGTTTGTTTTTGTTTTTGTTTTTCGAGACAGGGTTTCTCTGTGTAGCTTTGCGCCTTTCCTGGAACTCACTTGGTAGCCCAGGCTGGCCTCGAACTCACAGAGATCCGCCTGGCTCTGCCTCCCGAGTGCTGGGATTAAAGGCGTGCGCCACCACCGCCCGGCCTCTAAGTGATCTTTAATTAGTTATGTGTGTTTTTCAGTTAGCTCTGTCATTTCATATTAAAGTATCATTTTAAATCCTTTTCAGACTGATTATATCTAAAGTAGATTCTTTGTTATTCTGTTAAACATAGGAAATTTTGATGTCTTATGTTATATTCCTTTTTTTTTTTTTTCACCCAAGACAGGTTTTCTCTGTGTAACAGCTCTGGCTGTCTGGGAACTCGCTTTGTAGACCAAGCTGGCTGCTGCCTCCCGAGTGTGGGATCAAAGGCGTGCACCACTACCACCCCACCCCACCCCCGACTTTATATTCTTATTTTTTCTTTTTCTTTTTTTTTTTAAATTAAAAAAAAAATTATGTGCATTGTTGTTTTGCCTGCATGTATGTCTGTGTGAGGGTGTCAAATCATAAAATTACAGGCAGTTGTGAGCTGCCATGTGGGTGCTGGGAATTGAACCTGGGTGCTCTTAGCCACTGAGCCATCTCTCCAGCCCTTTATGTTAAATTCCTAAAAACTATGATTTGGGAAAGAATTCTAGAAGGTAAGGTTAAACAATAACTGTACAAAATGTAATTAGGTTATTTTATGTTTGCTAAAAATTAACTAGTTGAAATGATTTTAAAATGTGTCAGTTTTCTTAAAATAAGTAGCAATTTTGTTTGAAAAAAAACTTAGACAAAAAGGATGGTCTTGATAACATTGACGTTCTGATTCTTTCCCAAATTTTAGGTTGTTCGTATTTTTCTTTGGTTTTTTTCTTTTGTGCTGTTTGAAATACCCAGTTCAGAATTTCAGAATTGGCCCTTGGTGTGTGTGTATATGTTGTGTGTGTGTGTGTGTGTGTGTGTGTGTGTGTGTGTGTGTGTGTGTGTGTGTGTGTTTTCTTTTTAGCTTTATTTTTGAGCTTTTCAACCATAACTGTCAAAACATTTTTGTAGGGTAACTTTTGATTCAGACAATCTGCTTTTTCTTTCTCTAGGTATGAATCCTAGGACCCAGAATAAGGATTCTCCAGAGGATGGTGTTTCTACCTCTCCAGACCCAAGTAAGAGGGCACAGTTGACTAGTAGGAAGCAGGCTATAGGGATTATGGCATAGAGAGAGCACTAGGAAGTCCTGTGGGAAGAGAATAGTCCAGAAATCCACGTGTGTTCTGATGTAGAAAGGTGATGTGAGGGACTCTTGAGTCTGTCTGATGCCAGTTGAGAGAAGTATGGTTGGATGACCTGCTCCATAATGTGTGATTCAGGACATATGGGAAAGGGTCGACTTCTCCCAAAAACCCTTGTGCCAGGCAGAAGCCAGTCTTAGATCTTAGGCCTAATACTGGCTCTGGAAAAAAAGCAGAAAGAAATAATGGGCTGTTACTAGAACCCATAGTGAAAATATTTGGCTAGTTAAGGCTTGTTTTCATCACCTTTGTCTGTTTAAATAGCTGAACAGTTAAAGAGCACCTGTACCAGCACAGTAGCAGGGGAACAGTCCAGCACTGCACACACTTTATGTGGCTGTGGATGTGTAATGCTGATGATTAACTTAATCCTTTTACTGTTTTTCATGTTCCTATTACTCTTTTTTTTTTAAGTTTTTTTTAAAAAATAATTTATTTTAATTTTATGTGCATTGGTGTGAGAGTATCAGATCCCCTGGAACTGGAGTTACAGACAGTTGTGAGCTGTTGTGTGGGTACCGGGAATTGAACCCAGATCCTCTGGAAGAGCAACCAGTGCTCTTAACTGCTGAGCCATCTCTCCAGCCCCTCCATTATTAAAAGTTAAAAAAAAAAAAAGCTAGAAAAATAAATTAATTAATTTTTAAAAATAAAAAACAAACAAACAAAAAACGTGTTTGTGTGATGGCACACATATGCCGTAGCACATGTGTGTGGATGCCAAAGGACAACCCATAGGAGCTGACTCTGTCCTTCTACTGGGTGGACCCAGGGCTCAAATGCAAGTTGTCAGGCTTGGTGGCAAGTGCCTTTTCCTACTGAGGCACTGTGCCAGCCCCAAAAGTTTGTTTTTCTTTTCTTTTCTCTCTTTTTTAAAGTTTTATTAAGCTGAGTATGGTAGCACACAGCTTTAATCCCAACACTTGGGAAGCCTGGTATAAGCAGAAGTTCCAGGCCAGCCAGAGCTACATAGTGAGACACTGTCTCAAAACAAACAAACAGACACAACAGAAAATGTCTGAAGTTATTTTTAATCATATCATCAAACATATCACTATATCTGGGGTTTTAGTAATCATTTTTATTAGTGACCATTTGGATAATTTCCAGATTTTTGGGGGGTGGGGGGTGGAGGGTGGAGGGGGGAAGAGGGTTGTTTTGTTTGTTTGTTTATTTGTTTTTAAGACAGGGTTTCTCTATGTAGCCCAGCTAGTTGTGAACTTGTAGCAATCCTCCTGTCTCTGCTTCCCCAGTGCTGGGACTACAGACAGATGCTATTATGTGCAGCAGAAATCACTGATGTAAGAGTCAGAAAGGTAGTGAGGTCTGGCATGATCTAAGACAATATAAAGAGGTGGCTGACTTCCATTTCTGACTTCCTCATAGTGGCTTTGATTAGGTCTCTTCTACTTCTGGTTTTATCCAGGAAGTAGGGGCAAGCACAACTTCTTATCTCCCATATGGGAAGTTGGGGTGCAACTTCAGCTGTTTGGGGATATATTTTGAATTCCTGAGGTATTGATGACTGTGTAAGACCTGCCTAGAGATGGCGTTAGGTATCTGTCCAGTTATGGCTTTCCCCAAGTCAGTGGTGCTTCGGGAAGCACTCTGTCCCCATATTTAGCACATAAGACTTTTTCACCCACTTGAGGGTGATATAAGACTGACAAAGCCACAGGGGATACATTGTGTTGTAACCTTGTTACTGCTCACACACATGCATTTACAATATATAGTGTGTAAGTATCCCACTCAATACTTAAAGGCCAAGGTATGGAGTGGTTTTTGTTGTTATTTTCTCTTACAGAGATTTAAAAAAGATAGTCTTCACTTCAAAGATCGTATAGATTAGAGTAAGTTTTACTTAGAGAGCTAGCTATCTGTTTACATGGAATACCTGAGGGGGATAGGTTATAAAGAAAATTAGTTTAGAGCTCAGTGTATAGTGCACATTGTAATCCTAGCCTTCTGGAAGCTAAGGGAGAAGGATTACAAACTCAAGGCTAACCTGGGATTCATAGCAAGACTAAGAGAGAAGAGGAGGGAGGAGGAGGAGAGAGAGGGAGAAAGAGAGAGAGGGAGAGAGAGAGAGGGAGAGAGGGAGAGGGAGAGAGAGAGGGAAATATTGTGGTGCTGGCTCTGGCAAGAGCTCACCAACTGCATCACATGGTGGTGAATGGCATCGTGATTAGAAAGAGTGAATCAGAGCGATCACATGCAGAAAAATGGAAGCTAGGGCGCAGGCTGGGGAAGAGCTACCAAGAACTGCCTCAAGTTCCAGAACAACCCTGACCTTCCTGAGGACACACCTCCAGGGACCTCCCTCTAGGCTCCTTATTTCTCATATTTGCACACTCGGGAATGAGTCTAGTGAAACAAACAGCATCCAGACCATAGTGCTGCCTTAGCACTTTTAGGTCAGTGGGAAGGGACACGCACCCAAGTGGACACTGCAATGTCTGTTTTCACAGTAGAGTGCACCATTGGCATCTTGTGAGGAGAGTCCAGTGTTGCTCCTCAGAATCTCTATGTGCCCAGCACAGCCCTCTATAATGTCTTGCCTAATCCAAAATGTCAGGAGTTAGTGACCAGTATTGAAAGTCTGCTTTACCCAAGGAGCAGACGTCAAACTCAAGTCTCCAAACTCCCAGCCTTGTAACTGTCCCAGACATCCTCCTTTGGTTTTTCCTCCTATGCTTTTGAATCTGTTACTTGTTGTGATTCTGAAGTGTTCCTGTTTCTGCTGCTATATGCTATTTTGCTCCCAATTAGGCTGAGCTTTCTTCCTTTCCTACCCAGACACTCTGCGGTTCTTGAAAGGAGAAGCTCTGGCCTGAGCCTCTCTTCTGCCCTCAGAATATTAATTTGCTTTGATATGTAACCCTGCCTGCCCTGCAGTAACCTCACTGGCATTTCAGCTGTAGCTCATGATCAGCAGAAAATGAAAAATAGCAGCTGTGAATCCCATTTGCATGATGGGATTGGATAAGCATGTGTTGCATTATCTAACAAACTCTGTTTCTCTCTCTTTCTCCCTCCCCCACCCCCTTCCCTCTGCTCCTCTGTTCTGGCAATTTCTATCACCTTTTACCATGAACTCCTCCCCACTCCGTGTCCCAAACCTGCCATGGTGACCACATATGCCTTTTCCCCGTTATGCGAGGCAGTTCTGACACTGTCTGCTCCCCCTGTAGTGCCAGGCTTCTGTTGCACAGTTGGAGTGGATTGGAAGTCTCTTACTACTCCTGCATGCCTTCCCCTCACCACTGACTACTTCCCGGACCGTCAGGGCCTGCAGAATGACTACACAGAGGGCTGCTATGATCTCCTCCCAGAAGCAGATATGGACAGGTCAGTGCCTGAGAGAAAAGCAGTCAGTTTTGTTTGGGAGGGTTATGGGTATATTGGAACACATGTGTAGAAGCACATTGAACTTTTAAACCTTTCATGTCCTCCTTAAGTATTTGGGAAATTTGATGACCCAAGAACTGTTACTTGGGCTGGAGAGATGGCTCAGCGGTTAAAAGCACTGACTGCTCTTCCAGAGATCCTGAGTTCAATTCCCAGCAACCACATAGTGGCTCACAACCACCTGTAATGAGATCTGGTGCCCTCTTCTGGCCTGCAGGGACACATGCAGGCAGAACACTGTATACATAATAAATAAATCTTTTTTTTTTTTTTAAAGAAGAAATGTTACTTTCAAGTTTTGTTGACATTAACGTTTGTCTCCATTGATAACATATTTGCTAATGCAAGTATTTTCTAAGGTTATTATTTTTTTCTGCCTTGTTAAACTGATCATTTCTTCTGAAGCTGGCATACAGATTATGGATTTTATGAGCTGCTGTAGAATGATAATCTGGGATGAACCAAAGGAAAAGAGACACAATGACTGTTAAGTGTCACTGCCCAAGGTCAAGCATATCTACATGCTCAGTCATTTCTCTTCCAGGAGGGATGAGGAGGGGGTTCAAATGACAGCCCAGCAAGTTTTTGAAGAGTTCATTTGCCAGCGTCTCATGCAGGGCTACCAGATCATAGTGCAGCCAAAGGCCCAGAAACCCAACACCACAGTTCCACCCCCGCTGAGCAGCAGCCCACTCTATAGCAGAGGTAAGTGATTCTTCTTAAAATTATGTTTCTTCTTTGAGACAAGGTTTCTCTGTGTAACAGCCCCGGCTGTCCTGGAACTTGTTTTGTAGACCAGGCTGACCTCAAACTCCTAGAGATCCGACTGCCTCTGCCTTCCAAGTGTGGGGATTAAAGGCCCAGCCTATGTTTCTTCTTTTCTAATAAATCTGTGAGAGTAGATTTTCTTCTGTTATGTTGTTGTTTAGTTAGAGTTAACTATTGCTGTAATGAAACACTATGACAAAGCAACTCGGGGGAAAAAGGGTTTATTGGCTAACACTTCCACATCATTGTTCTTAACTGAAGGAAGTCAGAACAGGAATTGACAGAAGGCAGGATCCTGGAGACAGGAGCTGATGCAGAGGCCATGGAAGAGTGCTGCTTACTGGCTTGCTTGCTCTTCATGGCTTGTTCAGCGTGCTTTCTTTAGAACCCAGGACCACCAGCCCATAGGTAGCACACTCACATTGTGCTGGGCCCTCCCATATTAATCACTAATTAAGAAAATGTTTGGGGCTGGAGAGAGGCTCAGCAGTTAAGAGCACTGACTGCTCTTCCAGAGGACCTGAGTTCAATTCCCAGCACCCACATGGCAGCTCTGTAACTCTAGTTCCAGGGGACCTAACACCCGTGGCCAAAAAAAGGAAAAAGAAAATGCTTAATAGGCTTGCTTACAGCCAGGTCTTATGGAGGCATTTTCTCACTTGAGGTTCTTCCTCTATGCCAAGGGCACTGGTTAAGGGCACTGGCTGGTCTTGCAGAGGACCCTGGTCTGGTTCCTAGCACTCAGATGGTGACTCACTCCCAGTGGTTAATCCCACTGAACGAGAGTAACTATTACCCAAATTCTTTGGTCAAATTAAGCAAGCTTTATTTTCTGTCAGACAGGGCTGTCTCCCTAAATCGGAGTTTGAAAAAATAGTATCACAGGAGGAGGTAGGGTTTATATAGTCTAAAAAACTGCAAGACTCGTGGGGGTTCAAGGGTTGGGGGATTGCCAGAGGAATTTTGGTTACATAGGAACTTGGCTGCACATTTCAAAATGATTTGGCAGAACATCTTCTGGGGTATATTCAAGGTATGAGTCAACTCCATAGGGTAGGAGCGTGTCACATTCCAGAAACAGGTTAAAAGCACTTTGGTCAACTGGAATTTTGCAGCCAACAGAAATGAACTTGTTCTGACCTTATAACAAAATAGCTTCCATCCTTAAGATGGAGTCAGGCTGGTCCATCAATACATTCAAGCAAACACTCATACAGTAAAAATAAAATAATTTTTAAAACCTTAGTCTTCTTTTTGTTGCTGTTGTTGTTTTTTGTTTTGTTTTGTTTTTCAAGACAGGGTTTGTCTGTATAGCCTTGGCTGTTCTAGAATTCACTCTGTAGACCAGGCTGTTTTTGAACTCACAGGGCTCTGCCTTTCTCTTCCTCCCAAGTGCTGGGATTAAAGTGGTAAGCCACCATGGCCTGGCCAAAACATTACTCTTCTTAACCAGTCAACCTCCCCCACCCCCTCTCTCCTGTTTAAGACAGGGTCTTACTGTGTCCCTCCGGCTGGCCTGTAATTCACTATACAGACCATGCTAACCTCAGACTCAAAGATCCACTTGCCTCTCCTTCTGAAGTGCTGGGGTTTAAGGTATGCACCCGAATGCCTGGTTGTACAAGAGTGGTACCCAGGCAGTGGTGATGCACACCTTTGATCCCAGTACTTGGGAGGCAGAGACAGGCGGATCTCTGTGAGTTCGAGAGGACACCCAGGACTACACAGAGAGACTGTCTCAAAAAAGGAAGAGAGTGTGGTTAATTTTAGGGATGATGTCCTTTGGTTTAGACAACTAGGAGCAGCAGGCAGCCAATACTGAGTTGTCAAGTGCATAGTGAATGCTCTAAACCTAGAAGTGGGTATTTAGTTGTTTCTAGTGTTATACCTCCCTATTATACAGCAGGTTCTCAGGTGGTGCATCTAAGTTTACAGTTTGTTTGTTTTTGAATGTGTATGGGGAGTGACAGAGTCCACAACTGCCAGAGAGGGGTGTAAAAAATCCCCCAGAGCCAGAGTTAGAAGCAGTTGTGAAAAGCCCAGCATGAGTGCTGGGAACCAAATCTGGGTCTTCTAGAAGAGCAATATGTGGTTGTTTGTTTGTTTGTTTTTGAGACAGGGTTTCTCTGTGTAGCCATGGCCATCCTGGAACTCACTCTATAGACCAGGCTAGCCTCAAACTCAGGGATCCACCTGCCTCTGCCTCTCGAGTGCTGGGATTAAAGACCTGTGCCACCACAACCCAGCCAAGTTTACATTTTTTTATGTGTGTCTTTTTGTCTTTTTTCTTTTTTGGCACTGGGAATCAAACCCAGCACCACATTCCTGGTAGACAAGCGCTTTACTACTGAGCTACACCTCAGTTCATACATTTGTACATTTGTTCTTTTTCCCTTGGTCTGTGTTCATCTTTCTCCTTAATCACTGAAGTTTAGTGACCTAATTCAAGGGTGAGTCACCCATTAGTGGCAGAGACTAATAAGTGACACTAATTGAGGAAGAGCCAAGTTGTACAGAACTCTTCTAAAATAAGTGTGACAGAGGGAATTAAGTGTGGGTGCCTGGAATTGGAAAGCAATAATCATTCCCTGAAATAGTCCGTGAGCTGTCTTGGTCTCTTTGCTTCTTCACTGTTGCTAACGAAGCCTCCACTTCCCTCTTGGGCTGCTGTAAAACTTCAGATCGTTGTTGGTTCTGGTAAAGCTCCTCCTCTGGCCAGAGAATTTAAAGAAGTGAGGATCTGTTGTGTGGCTTAGTTGTCAGCCGGTCCAGACCTCGTAGATGAAGCTGTGGGTCTCTTGTGTGTTTTCTTAGGAAGCTCCTCCTGATGCTTGTTGCCTTCTGTTCATATTTTACATTCTTTTTGTTTTGTTTTTTTTGAGACAGGGTCTCGAACTGTCAGGTTGGCCTTGAACTCTTGATCTTCCTGCTTCACTTCCTAACCCCTGGGGTTCCAGATCTGTCCTGTCATACCTTCCTTAGTCTGTATTTGCCTTTTGTGGTGCCAAGACCCTTTTGGAAGATTGCTATGGTCACCACTGTACCACCAATTCACTTTAACCAGGACTATTTTGGATTCATCTTTTTTACCTCCACAGTGGAAACTATAGTGCCTGGGAATATAACAGATATTAAATAAATATATGTGCTCTTTCACTCATTCATTCAACATTTTTGACACTTCTAGTCTAAAGAAGGAATTTATAGCTCAATAAAGAGAAAATAGCATTTGTCAGACTATGAAAAATGCATCTGCTGAGATAAAGACTGGGAGGGAAAAGTTAGTTAAAGGCCCATGACACTTCTTTAATTTGGAGCTTGATCTGGTTTGGAGGATCAGGTGTGGCTTCCTGAGGCGGTGATGTTTGACCTTAGACCTGAAATAAGTAGAAGTCATTCGGAAAAGGAGGGGGCAAGTTAAAGGGAAGAGCATGCAGGCAGAGGGATTGGTATGAGCAAAAGCCTTTAGCAGGAGACACTGTGATAAGTTTTGCACACCAAAAAGAAAGCTAGTGGTGTGGAGCACAGAACGAGATGTGGCCAGAGACATTAGGTCTCACAAGGCTGCAGGAAGGCTGCAGGAAAAATTTAGTTCTTTAATCCAAGGAGCAGTAATGAATTTGCCTTTAGATGGCACTGGCCACATCTCGCCTGCCCAGTCTCTGCTCTTGAATGGGGTGAATGTCCCTTGTGAGTCTGTAATTCTAGTGTCGAGTGCTGGTCCTGACTGATTCATGAGCCTTATTCTTCATGGTTAGTTGTCAGAGGGACATTCTTATGTCCCTGGTAATAAAAACTTTTACTATCGTTATTGGGAAAGTTGCTTTCATAGCCAAGCTCATGCTGCTCCCTTGTTTCAGGTTTATTGATTGCAAAGGTAAGGTAGGACTTGTTCCAACAAACTCTTGGAGTTTACTGTCCACTGGGAGAGGCACACATTAACTTAACCACAGATACGTGTTTGATCCCTGGGGTACAACTAGTTTAGAATGATATGCTAGGGAACTGAGTTGTTCCTGCCCCCTGACCCTCTTCCTGACAGCAGGCAGGGTGCTCATAGCAAAATGAAGGAGTGCCTCATGGGGCATGCCCCTGTCTATTTGCAGAAAGCAAGACCTGGAGAGACTTGCTGCTAGAGATCATGCCCTGGCAGGTAAAGAGGTTGAGGTTGAATGCGGGGTCCCAAGCTGAAGCCTCTTGTATATGCTGCAGGCCTGCCTTGGGAGATTGTCACATTCACACTGAAGATTCTCTCAGACTCTACTTGTCCTCTCTTCTGAGCACTTCCAGGCCACCTGCCACCGTGTGACCGTCTCTCTGACCTGAGCACTTGGTTTGCCGGTCATGAGGATCTTGCCTAGTCTTTGTTATTTTTTATGGCACAATTTTTACTCTTTAGAGAATCTTCCTGATTCTCGTTATTTTCACTTTTGCTGTGTTTAATTTAGTTAAATTAAGTTTTTGAACACATACTCTGGGCATGGCACTTTTATCAGGAGCTAATTGAAAATATAAAGATAAACAATATTTAGCTCTGGCCTCTTGGAATTTTATTTTAAATTTTAATTTAATTTGGTTTTGAGGCAAGGATTCACTATGTTCCCCAGTCTGGCATCAGACTTAAAGACTCAGTCAATCTGCCTGTCTTAGTGTCTTGTGTGGCTGGAGCCATAGATCTGCACTGCTGTGCCTGAATCCTTGAAACTTTTTTATAAGAGTTTATACTTGGAAAGACACATACCTAAGGAGCTACATATAAGATGCTCATATGACTAATGGTGTCTGACAGCTTTCCTGAGGAAGTTGCCTTTGGTGGTGATATTAAGTAATCTAAAAATGGGCTGGAGAGGTTGCTCACCTGGTAAGTGCACTTCCTGCCATGGCTGGTGACCTGAATTTGACTCCTAGAATCCACGTATAGGAGGAGAAGACCTGATCCTGCAAATTGCCCTCCGACCTCCACACATGTGTGCTCTACTATGCATGTGCACTTGTGCTTGTGCACACACACACACACACACACACAAAGTAAATAAATGTAAACATTTTATTTTTTAATCTGTAAGATTTCAATTAGTGGCTCAGGAAGAGAAGGCAGAAGCAGTGTCACAAGCAGGTGTGTAGGGCAAAAACCACATAGAACAGACCAGTGGTCCTTTCAGACTGAAGCTTGAAGGAGCTGTGGGCAGGAGTTGGAGCACAGGCCAGGAGGCGGTGTTGGCTGCCAGCCCGGGGCGAGGACTTAGATGGGCTTGAGTAGAGTGGAGTTTCTTTTAATCACACCATATTCCCAGACCTGTTAACATTTACTCCAGAGGACTGGGCGTCAGGGTTGGAGTGTAGCATCCAGGTACTGCCAGCACCTGCTCTCATTTGCTATTAGTTGGTTTAATAAGAGAAAATTACGACAGTTTCTGGGATTTTATTTTTTAACCAAGAAGAATGCTTCTGTCTGTGAGCAAGCTCTCAAAACATTGTTTCTTCTTCTTTCCCTGTTTATCTGTATCTTTGTGGATAAGCAAGACTATGGTGAAAATGAGCCTTTACAAGATAAATGAAATCACTGGTTTTTTTTCTACTAGGCCTTGTGTCCAGAAACCGCCCTGAGGAGGAAGGCCAGTATTGGCTAAGTATGGGCAGAACCTTCCATAAGGTGACACTCAAGGACAAGATGATCACAGTAACACGATACCTTCCCAAGTGAGTCCTTGGATGTTTATAGTCTTTGGTGGCCATCTTGAATTTTGTCTATACACTAAATTATCTGTATAATACAATGCGTATATAAGAAGTTGAATGATTCCCTTCAGACTTTGCTTTAAAGTAACTTTAGGTTTATAGCTTACTACTTCCCAAAGGGAATTGATTCAGTTTATAAAGCTTGGCATGATTCACATCAAGCATATTAAAAATCAAAGGATAAATGTAGAAAAGAATGAAAAGTTTAAGAAGATCTGAGAAATTTCCATTATAGTCTCCTAGGATGAGCCAATTACTATAGCTGGGGACTGAGCCCAGGATAGTGCCAAATATTCTGAAGCAGAAAAAAGGTGGTGGTGGGTACAGATTGCTTTTAAATATCCAGGCATCTCCTTTGTTTTTTAGGTACCCTTATGAATCTGCCCAGATCCGTTATACCTACAGCCTCTGCCCCTCCCACTCGGACTCAGAATTTGTCTCCTGTTGGGTGGAATTCTGCCATGAACGGCTAGAGGAGTACAAGTGGAATTACCTAGATCAGTATATTTGTTCTGCTGGCTCTGAAGATTTCAGGTTAGAGAGAGGCTTTAACTTCCCATCCGTGCTACCTTGGATGTATTCATCATCTTTTAACACATCTGTCCTCTTGTCTGGTGTTTGTTTTATTTTCCTTAAAATTAGAAGAACAGAGCACGCCTGCATGACTTAAAACTCTGGCTAGAGGTGATGGTTATGTAACAGTGTGAGTGTACTCAGTACCATTGACACACACACTTAAAATGGGTTAGAGTGATTGTATTTTATGGCAGTTGGAAAAACAAAGCAGAGCTCTGGCACAGTGTGCCTTTTGGTGCAAGTGTCAGCACTGAGCATGAACTCAGTGGAGGAACTTAGGCTTGTAGAGGTTGCATAGAGTTCACGTGGTGCCTGAGACTACCAGCTAATATGGAGCACATCTGTGATTCAGTATTGTTTTATTTAAATTAATAAATAATAGAATTTCCTTTCTTTGTGTGTGTGTGTGTGTGTGTGTTCACATGTGTGATTGTATACAGGTCTATATGTTTTAACAAATAGAGGATTCGTGTTAACATGTGCTTCCAGCATTCTATTTTTGCTGTTTAGTAGCCTTGTGGTCGTGGTGTCTCATTTATGTTTTAGCCTTTCTGTCTGCTTTGTAATTGGTGGTGGACAGCTGCTTTACTGGGTCTGGGTTCACAGAGGTATTGTCATGGTGCTGGGATTAAAGCAGAAGCCACCTGTGGTCTTTGAGTTTTGTGTCCTGTCTTGAGCAAAGCCGTTTGGGGCAGCAGAACAGGACGGCTCACGTCCACTTCAGAGAGAGCTCTCCAGGAAGACTTATTGTCTACTTTTTCTCACCGCCACTCTGATTTCCTTGGCTCTCTATAGTTTAATTGAGTCTCTGAAGTTCTGGAGAACCCGGTTCCTACTACTGCCAGCCTGTGTCACTGCCACCAAGCGCATCACAGAAGGGGAGGTGCACTGTGACATCTATGGGGACAGACCCCGTGCAGATGAAGATGAGTGGCAGCTCTTAGATGGCTTTATTCGCTTTGTAGAGGGCTTAAACCGCATCCGCAGGCGCCATCGCTCAGACCGCATGATTCGGGTAAGGCATCAATTCTCAAGCTGTGGGTCGGGACCATTGGAAAAATGTTTTCCAATGGTCTTAGGAACAGAGACACTGCTCCTCTATAAAATTACAGTTATGAAGTAGCAACAAAAATAATTTTATGGTTGGAGTCACCACAACCTGAGAAACTGTATCAAAGAGTTGCAGCATTAGGAGGGTTGAGAACCAGTAGGGTAAGGATTCTTAGAACTCCTGGGGACTGTACCTAGCCTGGGAGGCAGGCTCCACCTCCTGCTCTCTCAGGCTTCTCATCAGCCAGATGGTTTATCCCATGACTACTCAACATGTGTCTGAAATTCTAGTCAGTATGTTCTTGCCTGTTGTAGGATGAAGGAGAGGGCATTGGTGCCAGCAGTGACTGGACTTTGCCTCATGGCTTGAGCTGCTCCTTCTAGCTGAGGACTTAGCACCTGTTGTGTACTCTCCAAGTGGGACCCGGTATCGGGCACAGCTGCTGTGTTTTGTGGCACCGAATTTTAAGTAAAAGCTCTAAGAGGTTGACAGCAACAGGCCTTCCTTTTAGAGTTTTCACCACTTTAATTTCGGTCATACACTGCCACTCAGTGAAGAAACTGAGGCTTCTATAGCAGGCTATAGGATATATCTGAAGCTACCCAGGCAATAAGGGGCAGATGTGTGATTCAGCATTGTTTTGCTTAAATTAACGTAAAGTGTAATTGACTCTCTAAATCTCTGTGTGCTTGTATACAGGTATATACAGAATACAGGGATTTGTTACCAGCCACCACCATCAAATGGTTCCTCAGTGGTAGATCACCTGCATAGCATTCGAGAGACTTTGAGTTTGATCCCCAGAACTAAAAGGAAAAACACAAAAACATCGTGCTCCCCTTGGCAGTCACACTCTTCCCTTCTCTATATTCTAGCAACCACTAGTCTTTTCCAGGTGTTTTATTTTTTATTTATTTATTTTTTCTAATTTTTTTTTTTTTTTTTGGTTTTTTTTCGAGACAGGTTTCTCTGTGTAGCTTTGTGCCTTTCCTAGATCTCGCTCTGTAGACCAGGCTGGCCTCGAACTCATAAAGATCCTCCTGGCTCTGCCTCCTGAGTGCTGGGATTAAAGGCATATGCCACCACTGCCTGGCTATTTTTTATTTTTTTTAAAGATTTATTTATTTATTATGTACACAGAAGAGGGTACCAGATCTCATTACAGATGGTTGTGAGCCACCATATGGGTGCTGGGAATTGAACTCAGGACCTCTGGAAGAGCAGTCGGTGCTCTTAACCTCTGAGCCATCTCTCCAGCATCCGGGTGTTTTAAAATGCTATCATATGATAGAAAACCACTTGAGACTTGCTTCTTCCACATAGCATTATGATTAGGACTCATTCAATCTTTTGTATTAGTAGTTCATTATTTTTAATCTCCTGATAGTGTTCCTTCATCAGCCCTGTTGTTAACCTTAGGTTCCTTTTCTCACACCAGCTGCCTTCTATGTTCAAGATCACTTCTGATTAGAACATTAAGAATGCTTGTGTGAAAAGAGCTTTAAGCTTTGAAAAGAGCTAACGTTAGTTTGAATTCCAGCTCCAGGGGATTTGGAGTTCCTTGGTTAACCAACCTCTCTGAGTCTTAGTTTCTTCTATCGTTTGCTAAACACAGAGAACCTGTGTTCCTCTGCTCGATTGATTGGGTTCCCAGGGCCCAAAGATGCAGCAGTGTGAGCTGAGATGTGAGTGACATCTCAGAGCCTACCTGGACTAACGACCGAACTGTCTCTCCATGCTTTAGAAAGGGACTGCCATGAAAGGCTTGCAGATGACTGGGCCCATCGCTGCACACTCCCTCGAGTCAACAGGCCCCCCAGTTGGGAAGAAAGGAACCTCAGCTCTGTCTGCACTGCTGGAGATGGAGGCTAGTCAGAAGTAAGTGCCTGGCTGCAAAGACCTCTCCCCACCCAGTAGGCTTCAAGGAGTTTCAGTGCCTCATTCACCTGAACAAGGTGAAATATAATTTCTGAATGTAATTAAGAAGCTATTACGGGGCTGGAGAGATGGATCAGAGGTTAAGAGCACTGACTGCTCTTCCAGAGGTCCTGAGTTCAATTCCCAGCAACCACATGGTGGTTCACAACCTTCTATAATGAGATCTTGTGCCCTCTTCTGGTCATACATGCTGTATACATAATAAATAAATCTTAAAAAAAAAAAAAGAAAAGAAAAGAAAACTAAGTCAACCTTTAAAAAAATAAAAAGAAGGGCTGGAGAGATGGCTCAGTGGTTAAGAGCACCGCCTGCTCTTCCAGAGGTCCTGAGTTCAATTCCCAGCAACCACATGGTGGCTCACAACCATCTGCAATGAGATCTGGTGCCCTCTTCTGGCCTGCAGGGACACATGCAGGCAGAACACTGTATACATAATAAATAAATAAATCTTAAAAAATAAAAATAAAAAAAATAGAAGCTATTACAGGGCTGGAGACAGCTCAGTAGTTAAGAGCAGCACTCATGGTGTCACCCAGCTGTCTGTAATTCCAGTTCCAAGGGTTCCAGCTGCTTCTTGTTACCTCTGTGGACACTGCACACACGGTGTACAGACTTACATGCAGGCAAACAGGCATACACATTAAATAAAACTAAACCTTTTTTTTAAGAAGACGTTTACATGGCAAGTATGTGAAGCTAACACCTGGTGACTGTCACATAACAAAATAGTCCTGCAATTAGAAATTTGCAGTCTGGCTGGGCCTTTAATCCCAGCAATAAGGAGAGAGAGGCAGGCAGATTGAATTCAAGGCCAGCCTGGTCTACAGTGCTAGTTCTAGGACAGCCAGGGACACACAGAAAAATCCTGTCTCAAAAAAGAAAAAAAAAGTAAAGTTGAGTGGGCAAGAAAGCATGAGGTATGGGGGTAAATACATCTGGAGACAGTGTGGAGCGCTGGAAGCCAGGCCACCGTTACATGGTCTCATAGGGGAGGAATCGCCTGGTAGTCATTTGGTTTGGTTTTGTTATAATGAAAAGTTTCAAACAGAAGACAAAGCATGGACTGACTAGACTACAGTCATCTAGTTTTCAGTGATCATCTGTTCTTGGCCACTCGTGTTTGATTTATATTCCACGGGTATTTATCTTCTATTTCTCAAAACCCAGACATTATACTCTTTTTATCTGTAATACTTCATAATGTGTCTCTGAAAATTTAGTCTTCTTTTTTTTTTTTTTTTTAAGATACATTTTTTTTTTTTAAAGATTTATTTTTATTTATCATGTATACAGCATGTATGACTGCAAGCCAGAAGAGGGCGCCAGATCTTATTACAGATGGTTGTGAGCCACCATGTGGTTGCTGGGAATTGAACTCAGGACCTCTGGAAGAGCAGCCAGTGCTCTTAACCTCTGAGCCATCTCTCCAGCCCCTTAGTCTTCTTTTTAAAAAATACATACCAAACCAGGCTGGCAAAGTGGCTCCGTGTGTAAAAGTATTTGCCACCAAGACTGACAACCTGAGTTTGATCCCTGGGATCCACACTGTGGCAGAAGAGAATTGACCCATGCAAGTTGTCCTCTGACTTCTACACTTGCACTATGGCATGTGTGCTCCCCGATAAAAAGTGTAATTTAAAAAAATTTAATCATAATACTGTAGTTTACCATAAAAATTACAATTCCTTAATATCATGAAATATATTTTTAGTGTCTTTGGTGAAAATGTGTATCTTAGGGTTACTATTGCTGTGATAAAACACCATGATAGAAAGCAACTTGGGGAGATTTATTTGGCTTATTCTTCCACATCACTGTTGATCATTAAAAGAAGTCAGGACAGAAACTCAAGCAGTGCAAGGGCTGATGCAGAGGCTATGGAGGGATCCTGCTTACTGGCTTGCTCATCATGGCTTGCTCAGCCTGCTTTCTTACAGAACTCAAGACCACCAGCCCATGGATGGTACTACTCATAAGGGGTTAGGCCCTCCTCCATCAGTCGCTAATTAGGAAAATGCCCTACAGACTTGCCTACAGCCCTGTCTTATGGAGGCATTTTCTCAGTTGAGGTTCCTTTCTCTCAGATGACTCCAGTGTGTGTCAAGTTGGCATAAAACTATGCAGCACCGTGTATTTTCAGAGATGAGTCCCATGCCTAGAATGGCTTGGTGGGTGGGTGCCAGGAGGTAGAGTCTGGGTGGAAAGGAAGGACTATGACAGAGCTGCAAACAAACAGCAGGCACCTGCAGGTCTGCACCTGGGAAGAGGAAAGGGGGCAAGTTGAGCTCTCCTGAGAGGGCTGGGTTCTTGTAGAGAAGTCCTCGGGATTCTGCCAGCAGGTTCTCCCTGACTGCAGAAAAGAACGAGGAACATATGTTTCTGGGAGTGGTGTGAAGATGGGGGTAAAAAGATCTTATTTTAATTTGCCAGTGAGTCACTGTTTAGTATGCACCAATGAGCCTCTTTCTGCTCAGACTGGGAAAAGCAAGCCCTCTTGTGCTTGTAGCCTTCCCCATTATGAACGATGAGACTTTCAGCTAACCCTGTGACAAGAGCCATGTCAGGGACCCAAGGCCTGTCTTTGCCCCAGATGACTGCTCCTGGCTGATGTGCTAGGTTTTTGGGAGGCAGGAGGTAGGTTGTAAGAGGTTACAGGAGCTAGACTTTTATATAATCCGTATAAATATTACACAGCGCTTTTCGTTTGCTTTCCTTTTTTTCTTTGTTTGTTTTTCGAGACAGAGTTTCTTTGTATAGTCTTAGCTGTCCTGGAATTAGCTCTGTAAGCTAGGCTGGCCTCAAACTCACAGAGATCCACCTGCCTCTGCCTCCCAAGTGCTGAGATTATAGGTGTGTGTAGATGAATTTCAATTGTAGACGAATTTCTAAATGGCCTTAGTAAATAAAAAAAACACGGAGCCAAATATAGGGATGAGAAAGCCTTACAGAGATCAGGGAAGTAGGGAAAGCTACCAGCCAACTTTACCTTACCAACTCTGCAGCTTCTAAAGAGAGCGACTTCCTGTCTATCCACATCTAATTGCCTTGCTGTTCTGCCATCTGATTTGCTCTCTGTCTAGCTACATCACTTCCACTTCCTGGCCAGCTCTGTCATTTCAGGTTTGTACAGGTCTCCAGACCTCTATGGTTGGTACTGGCATTAAAGGCGTGTGTCAGCACACTTTGGCTCTGTTCCCTAGTGTGGCCTTGAACACACAGAGATCCTGCCTGCTAAGTGATAGGATTAAGGGTGTGTGCTACTGCTGCCTGACTTCTTTGTTTACTTAAAATGGCTTGCTATTTCCTTTGATCTCCAGGCAAACTTTATTTATTAAAGCACAAATAAAATATCACTACATTTCAGCACAAATATCACCACAGGCGTGCACCATGACTGCCCAGCTTGTTTGCTTTATTTTTTCTTTCTACAGTACTAAGCAGATTCAGTTGTATTTGTTGTGAAAACCAATGTTACAACAAGATGAGAAAGGGCTTTAGGGTTTTTGTCTTGCCATCTTCCTGTATCTATTTCCTCCAGTTCCCTGCTAGTCTTTATCTATAGGCACATACCCTTGATCAGGCTCTTGTGCTGACTAACAGCAGTGGATTAGCCTGGGCAGCAGATGTTGATCTGCAGGCTTTTCTGCTTTTATTAGATTAGGATAACCCAATGTATCCAAATTGGAGTAAAAGCAGACAGACAGATGTTCTCATGTCCTTTGCAGGATGGCTCCATGCTAAAAGCAGGCTAACAGTGTGATAGTGCCCCATCCTACAAATATGTGAAAAGATGTTTGCCTACTTGTGTCTTGCTGTTAATGTAAGCTGACTTCCTCCTGCCCTCCCTTTAAGGCCCACCAATCACATATGGTGCAGCTTTTGTGTAGGATTGGCTGCTTCCCTCCTTCCTCAGAATACAGTGTGCCCTGAATATGTTCTCACATCTACATGTATTTGTTGTAGAAGGTTCTGAGCTATTAGACAGGAGCAGTCTCACCCAGATGCGAATACCTGTTCTTGATGTGGGATCTAGTGTCCACCTAGAAGGCAGTTCAGTAAATGTGGATGGTTATGTGCATATGAGGTAACTGACTCACCCACTGCCAGGGCCCTTTGCTGCAGCCATCAAGACATATATGCCAAAGAAAGTCCTATTGTGTGTTTGTGGCTGTAACTCAGAACTGAATGTAGAATGTATTGTAGTGTGGTAAGAGAAAGACAGTTTGATATTGGTGGACAAAGAAGAAAAGTTTTTCCTCTATAAATTATACCTTAGAATGTCCAAGTAGTTGGAGATTTTTTCTTTCTAAAATATCCTTGCTAATAAATAACAGAAGGAGTGATAGTATATCACTCTGTGTAGTCACTAAAGAATTAAAGGAGCTAGGAGTCATCAGCTGCAGCTAATATCAGCATAGACAGCCTGTCATGGACCCCCCAGATAGCAGTACACAGCACCACAGAAGAAGAATCCTTACCCCCAGTTGAACTTAAATCCAACTAAACTTTTAAGTGGTATTGCTTACAGTTCTTAGGAAGTACAGAACGCGGAGAAGAAAACATGGAATAGTAAAGGAATGGACTCAGCACATCTCGATTATGTACATTTGCGGGACAGATGAGCTACAAGGATAGGGAGAGAGGAGAGGAGTTTAGACCTTAAGAGGGACTTAAGAGATCACGTAGAACAAAACAGAGGCCTTCATAGATCTTGTTTTGGACACACAAATATTTTTTAAACAGTTGTAGAAATATTTGGTTGTGCTTATGTTTCTTTAAAAGTTATTTTCAGCCAAGCAGTAGTGGCACACGCCTTTAATCCTGCACTTGGGAGACAGAGGCAGGCAGATTTCTGAGTTCGAGGCCAGCCTGGTCTGCAGAGCGAGTTCCAGGACAGCCAGGGCTATACAGAAAAACTGTCTTGGGGAAGAAAAAAAAAAAATTATTTTCTTTTAGAGATACTGCTGTTACAGATAAAATGATATGTGAGTTTTGTTTCAAAGTAATTGGTGTGTGTGGACAGGGAGCTAGAGGAAACAAAATTGTCTCTGAGTATGTCTTTTTGTTTTGTTTTTCAAGACAAGGTTTCTCTGTTTAATCCTTGCTGTCCTGGAACTCACTTTGTAGACCAGGCTGGCCTCGAACTCTGCCTACCTCTGCCTCCTGACTGCTGGGATTAAAGGCATGCACCACCACTGCCTGGCCTGAGTATGTAATTTTAGTGGCTAAATCTGCAGGGGTCTCTGCATATTAATATAAATTAAACTCTTTGTTTTTGTATATCTTTTATTTATATTTGATATCTCACAGTCGGGTGACAAAAGTGGTAGAGTCCTTGCTATAGTGGACATGAGAGCATGGGTTTGATCTCTGCAACACACACACACACACACACACACACACACACACACACACACACACACACACACACACAGTCAGAATATGAGAAATGTTACAGATTAGGTTACCAGGGAAACAGAACAAGATAGAATTTCATATATAAACTGTTTAAGGAGAGTTTTTGGGCTCAACATCTGTGGGAGGAAGTACTGTCACCTACCCAGTGACAGTCTCAGGGGCCCCACATGAGCACCGGAGCTAGATGGGACAGGTTTCAAAGGTAATCTGAGTTTTGACAGCACACACACCATTCACTGACTGTGGCTGTTCAGCTTAGTCCAACCTGCTCTGCAGTTGGAGCTGTTCTCCCTCTAAATAGTGCTCCCAGCTGCTGAAGAAAATAGGCCAGAGCTAAGGATCTAGCTTTGAAGTATCCAGCAGCAGCAGCAATATAATTGGTCCTCCTTGTCTGTGGGTGATGTGTTTGTGGATTCACCACCCACTGATCTAAAATTGAATCTAAGGCTGGCAAGATGGCTCAGTGGGTAAAGGCTCTTGCTGCCAAGCCTGATGACCTGCATTCCCCAGAGAACCAACTCTTGTAGGTTGTCCTCTAACTTTGATTTCCGTGGGTGTTATGGCATGAGCCACACCCAGCCCCAATAAATAAATGTAAAAAATTTTCTTTTAAATAAAGTCTGTACTAAATATATAGACTTTTCCTCATACCCCAAACAATGCTCTGTAGTACTGTATTTCTGTTATAATAGAAGGATGGTTTGTTACAACAGTGATGAAACACTTAAGACTGTATGGGTCTTTTGAAACTTACCAAGTAATCCAATGAGATCTGAAAGCAGTGTACAAGAGTTTACAGTTTATTTTTAGGGGAAAGAGGTATTGGAGACTGACCACATGGCCTCGCACGTGCTCAGCAGGAATTTTACTACTGAACTTATTTCTAGCCCTTGTTTTTTGCTTTGGATATATATCTTAGGCTGGACTTGAACTCATGATCCTCCTGGCTTCCCTCATCTCTGGGATTATAGGTGTGTGCTACTATGACCCAATTTTTTTTATCTTCCATATACTTTAAACCATCTTTATATTACTTATGATACACTAATTTTAGTTGGGGGAAAAATTAGAAAATGAACACATAGCTGTGCATTAATATACATTGGAACTGAGATAAGATGACATAAGAAAATCTTGTTTTACTTTATGACTTGGGAAAGGAGGAAGTATAATTATGTTAGAAAAACTAACATAAATCCCTTTAAAGTATGTAGAACTAATACATAAACCTTTAGTTGATACTGCATGTTACTGCAGTGTTGATTTTCAGAACGTGTTTTTGTGAGGTCTCACCCTGTTACCTAGACTGTCCTGAAACTCCTTGGCTCAAATGATCATCTTGGTCAGTTTTTAAAAGAGCTAGGGCTGCAGGCACATGCCAGCCCACAGTAATTTTTTTTGAATGTGTATGGGTGTTTTGCCTGCATGTATGTCTGTGTACCTCACGCATGCCTGGTGCTCAAGGAGGCCAGAAGAGGGCTCTGGATCCCCTGGAACTGAAGTTAAGTCACCATGTGAGTGCTAGGAATCAAACCCACATCCTCTGGAAGAGCAGCCAGTGCTCTTAATCACTGAGTCACCTCTCCAGCCTCTTAAACTAAGATTTTAGTATTAAAAAAAATGGTTTAAAAAAGTCATGGGTTTTGTTATAAAATATTCATACATGTGTCATCATATTCCCACTCCCTGCCCTGCACTCCTCCCTCCTCCCTCCCTCTGGTCCTCTTCCTCCCTAATTGTGGTCTTTATGCTTCTATGCCATGTACATATATGTATTTAAGTCTGGATTCTACATGTGCGTGGAAACATGGGATTTTGTTTTTCTTAAATGCTTGTTTTTTTATGTTTTGGTCTTTTTGAGGCAGGATGTCTAATATGCAGCTCTGGCTGTCCTGGAACTCTCTGTGTAGACCAGGCTGTCCTCAAACTCACAGAGATCCTCCTGGGATTAAAGGTGTGTGACACTACACCCTGTTTCTTGGAATGCTTTTTATTTTCTATCACATTTATTTTGTAGAGGGGATGCACACATGGTACAGTGTGTGGGGAAGTCAGAGGTCAACTTACACAAGTTGGTTCTTTTCTTCCACTGTGTGTGTTCAGTGATCAAACTCAGGTTGTAGGTGTGGTGGCCAGCACCTTTACCCAGTGAGCCATCTCACCAGCCCTAGGATGTTCTTTGATTGGGCTGTTTTCTGATATACTGTGGGAGACAAATGGCTGTTTAGGATGATTTAATGGTGTTAAGGGGGCAATGTAGGGCCTGAAGGAAAAGCAAGGCAGAAGCATATGTTTTGAAGGTGGAAACAGCTGTGCTGTCTTCATGTAGACTAACTTGGCTCTTCTCTAGACATCTTCCAGCAAGCTGCAGTCATGTATTTTCCTTCCTTCAGGTGCCTAGGAGAGCAGCAGGCAGCTGTGCATGGAAAAAGTTCCTCTCAGGCAGCTGAGAACAGCAGTGTTGCTATGACGCCCACTTATGTGGACAGCCCACGAAAGGTAAAGGTGGCTCACCAGTAGGGGACTGTTGCTGTGTGCTCTCAGGAGCCCAAATTAAGGCATGACATATAGCCATGAATACAGAATCAATTGTGCCGAAGCTGCAGATAAATTCTACCACAAACCCTCGTAAAGTTCTCTCATCCCCTTCTTCCCCCCATAAAGGAGCCTTCCCCTTGATGGTAGTGGGTGGATTTCTCCCCAGGCACAGCATGTCAATCACCCACACACAACTCTCTTGGTCCAGGCTGAGATCTGAGCTGAGCTGTGGCATTTGCCATCTAGCTTCCCTTCTGGGTCACCACCACTCTGCCAGAGGGGAGTTGGAGTTCCTGAAGCACCACCCACACAAAGCCTCCTGTTTGGGTTTGGTTTGGTTTGGTTTTTAAGACTCCTGAGAAATATTGGGAAAGAAAAATGCAAACAAAACTTTGAGACTTTAGGCCTCTCTACAGCATAACAAGTGTGACAGAATGGAGGAAAAAAACAACCCAGGTTAGGCTTTTGTGTCTCCTGGGAAGTTCAGACTCATCATTTTGTGTGGCAGGCGAAAGAGTTGGAGCACTTACTTTTCGTAGTTTTGGCATATTTTATATCTAACTTAGTATTTATTAATTTTACTCGTAAAGTTTTCCATGTCATGTTTTAAAAATTTGTGGGGTTTTGGTTTTGTTTTTTTCCATTTTAAGTTTTAGGGATTCAACCAAGGCCTTTTGCATGCTAAGCAAGTACTCTACAACTGAACTAAACTCTCAGTCCCTAAAACACGATGTTTAATGTAGCTGTGGGGGGCTGGAAAGATGGCTTAGTGGTTAGGAGCACTGACTACTCTTCCAGAGGCCTGGGTTCAATTCCCAGCCCCAACATAGCAGCTCACAACTGTGTAACTCCAAGATCTGACACCCTCACACAGACATACATGCAGGCAAAACACCAATGTACATAAAATAAGAATAAATATAATGGGGGGTGGGAGGAGGGAGGACAGGGGAATCCGTGGTTGATATGTAAAACGAATAGAAAATCTCTTAATTTAAAAAAAAAAAAAAAAAAAAAAAAAGAGCCGGGTGGTGGTGGTGCACGCCTTTAATCCCAGCACTCGGGAGGCAGAGCCAGGCGGATCTCTGTGAGTTCGAGGCCAGCCTGGGCTACCAAGTGAGTTCCAGGAAAGGCGCAAAGCTACACAGAGAAACCCTGTCTCGAAAAACCAAAAAAAAAAAAAAGAAAAAAAGTAGCTATGGGCTGGGGTTCTGGCTCAGAAGTGGAGTGTTCAGTTTGCATACTCAAGGCCTTGGGTTTGATTCCCAATACTACATTGACACAGAAAGCTTGCTTAAAATGTAAATGGTTTCTCATTTTTAAGATAAATTTTAGCTGAGTGTTATAGGGCACGCCTTTAATGCCAGCACTCAGGAAACAGAGGCAAGCAGATCTCTGTGAGTTAGAGACCAGCCTGGAACAGAGTGAGTTCCAGGACAGCCAGGGCTGCATAGAGACAGCTGTCTTGGGAGGAAAAAAATTTGCCAATTATATAGAATTTAATCTATAGCATGTAAAATTATAAATTATGCTAATGAGTTTCCTTATGGCAGTTATTTGACTACAGGTCTGATTAATTACCTTGGTATAAATTACTAGAATTACATGCTAGGGATTAAAATATGAGAAAGGTACCAACCAAAGCTGTAGGCAGGTTGGAGACTGTGGACCAGAGATCAGCAACCCTGTGTGTGGATTTCAGGCTTCATGGACAAAATAAAGGTCCTGCATAAGTACTTCTATAACCATTTAAAATTATAAAGCCATTGTTTGCTCATAGCCTGTGAGGATCAGGTAAGTGGCCAGATGTATTCTACAAGCTGTAGTTTGCTGACCCATGCTCAAAGGAATAGCTTTAGGTCCCAAGGAGAGTCTGTGTACAAAGGCTATATACAAAAAAAAAGTTCTTTTGGCAAGGTTGATCTTGTTTCTGTGACATAGATCTCTCAGTATCATCAGTGCCTCAGCAGTCATATTCTGGGATGGACTAATGCCTTCCAGCCTTTTCCGACCTTTATACATTGTCATTTCTCAGGATTAGAGACGGTGCCAGCGACAAGGTGGACAGGTAGAGGACCGTAGGAAGGCTGAGATGCACTAGAGGCCACACACTAGACTGCTGTCGGGATGCTCACTGTACTCTGACTTCTGAAAGCCGTGGTGCTGGGTGTGCACTCCAGGGTTAGGGAGTTGGAAGCCAAAAGCCACGAGCTGTCCCGCTGGCACATCTGGAGGCAGTGCCTCTTAAGGAGTGTGTGATGCATCTGCATCTTCAGTCATGCCTCTCCAGGGTGTGCTCCTTGAGTTTACAGTGGCTGCTGAGAGGTACTGGCAATGGTGATACAATGAACACCCAAATATTTCCACTATTGTACTTGTGGAACTGAAGGGGAGCAGAGACCTTGATCTGTTGCCACTCCTGCATTTCAGGGACAGCTGAAATTGAATTTGCTCTGAGATGTCTTGGTGTTCAGAGCAGCAGAGGGGAATGGGGGAGATTCGTGTAAGAGCACGCTCCTGCATTGCAGCAATAATCATTCATGCACAGTAAAAAGGCTCTGAAGGATCAGAAGCTCTTTGAAATGTCCTATTTGTCATTTTTGCTTCAAATACATGGGCATTTATATCCAGCCCTAAGTAGAGCAGGGTGATGGCTTCAGGAAGCCCACTGCATTAGTACTTATGTACCTGATTTTATATGTGTCTTAGTTTCTTGATTGTGTTCCCAAGCAGTAGAGGAGCAAGACTGCTGCCTCTGCACCCCCTGTATGCACACAGGATTAAGCAAGACTTTCTCTTCATTGATTCTTTGCTGCCACATTTAGTAACTAACAGACAGAAGAAATCTTAGGCTTCAGTGTCTCTCTCCCAGAGAGCTGTTTTTTACCCAGCCAAACTGAAGGACAAGATGTCACTGCTGCCTTTACCCTGCTGTTCCCAGCACTGCTCTGGGGCTGTTCCCTCTTCCTTGCCATTGGTCTGAAGTAAGTTAAAAGCATCCAAGCCATAGGTACACACAAGGAGCTTGGTGGTACCTTTCACCCACATAGATGGTATTCTGCTAATGGAAGTGTGATCTCTTGCTCGTGCTTTGCATTTGGATATTGTCTTTCTGGGATCCCTGTTCCACCCCCACCCCATTCCCTCATGTCCTGATTTTCTCCTTGCCTCCTTGTCTTCATTGATTTATTTACTTCTTTTTCATCCCCCCTCCTCATTTTCTCATACACAATCCATCTCTTGGCTACCTTACACCTGCTGCTGCTGCTGCTGCTGCTGCTGCTTCCTCCTCTGACTTCAGGACGGGGCCTTCTTTATGGAGTTTGTCCGCAGCCCACGCACAGCATCATCTGCCTTCTACCCTCAGGTTAGTCCAAACCACAGCCTGTGCATGCCCATCCCATTGGCACAAGCTGGCCTTCTGTTTACCTTCGAGCAGACGAAATTGGACTGAATCTGAGTTTGAGGGACAGCTGAAATTGAATTTGGCTCTGAGATGTCTTGGTGTTCAGAGCAGCAGAGGGGAATGGGGGAGATTCGTGTAAGAGCACAGCCTACCACACCAGTGCTGAGCCAGATGCTTTCCATTGCTACTTGTGTGGTTCACCTGATTGCTGTGAATCTCATTGTCACCAGCATTTGCCCTTTTAAATTTTATAAGCGTCATGAAATGTGTATATTTTAAGGATTGAACACTTATTGTTCTCCTCCTGGTTCAGCCAAGATAAATTAATAATAGTATGGCAGGAAGTGGTGGGGGAAAAAAAACAGCCAGCATTTATAAATAGGCCTGAGTTATGTCATAGGCTAATGGTGTGTGGCCCTGGGCAGCTCACTTGATTTCTGGACTTCACTTATTTGTCAAATGAAAGGTTTGGCTGAGGTCATTGAGGGCCTTCCAGGCCATAAAATTCTTTACTTACCACATGCCTAACACATCATGTATTATCTCATTTCACCTTACAGCATAACCTATCAGTTAAGTAAAAGTTTTATTCCAGTTTTGTAAGTGGAGAAATAAAGGACAAAGAAGTTGCTTTCTACAGCACAGAGTAGAACTGGGATTTACATTCATGACCCACAAGGCTTGACTCAAAACCCACTCTGTAATTAGCATTAGTAATTACTGTTTTGACTGGTCTTTGAAGGCAAATAGGGCTCCCTGCTGTTTATGGAGGTTTCTAAGTATTATATGAAATTGACTGTAGAGAACTAGTTACAGAGATCTGAGTGAACAAGGGTTATACAGAGTGGGTCTAGCTAAGGAGGATGGGACTTGAGAGGTGGGAGAAGTTAAGAGTCCTTATTTAGTGGAAGTCAGAAAAGCAGCTCATCGAGCTCCCACTTTGCCAGTGTTCCATAAATGTCATCTTTATAACAACCTATAAAGTATTATACCCATCTTCCAGATGAGAAAAAATGAGACTAAAGACACATTGGTGGCAAAAGGACACTATACTAATGAGTGGCTGACCCCCTATACTATCTTCTGAACAGTACTGGGAGACTTAAGGTTTAGTTTACATTGGAGCCTTGGTTTTCTAAGAATGGACATTGCTACAACTGTCTGCAAACCTTACCTGTGAATCAAATAGCCATATGCAATCCCTTTTGGGACCTGAGTTCTCGACCAGGCATCTCTCATCTGAGTGTAGGAGGCATACTATATTTTGAATTAAAGCAGACTCAGGCTAATTTCTTTAGTCTTTTACTTTCTTTTTTCTTTTAAATATTTTTTTAGATTTATGTATTTTATTATTTTATGTGTATGAGTGTTTTAACTGAGTGTATATCTGTTCACCACATGCATGCCTGGAAGAAGGGCATTGGGCCCCCAGGAACTGGAGTTGTAGATGGTTGTAAGCCACCATGTGAATGCTGGGATTTGAACTTTAACCACTGAGCCAAATCTCCAGCCCGTGTGGTTTTTTTTTTTTTTAACTTTTAATTTTATTTTATGTCTATGGGTGTTTTACCTGTGTGTAAGTCTGTGTACTACATGTGTGCCTGGTAGTCTTGGAGGCCAGAATCCCAGAGTTACAGACAGTTGCGAACTGCATGTACGAGATGGGAATAGAATCCAGATCCTTAGGAAGGACAGCAGGTGCTCTTAACCACTGAGCCATCTCTCCAGTCCCAAAGTCTTTTACCTGGGAATAAGAGACTCTTTATTGATGTTTTAAACTTATAATTTAATATAAGAAAAGTCAGCAGAGTTGAAATAGAGATCAATGGTCTATTTTGTGTGGTGGAATTTACCTATAAAACAAAGGTGGACAAGTTCCTACAACTGGAAACAGTAAACAGGGCAGTTCCATCGAGAGTTGCATATGAATGAATGTTTGTCTCTCCTGGTGTTGTAAAATTTTTGTATTAAGCCAGGTATGGCGTCTTACACGTGAAGCAGAGGCAGATGGATCTCCTGTGAGTTTGAGGCAGCCTGGTCTATAGAGCGAGTACTAGAGTAGCCAGAGTTATATAGTGAGACCCTGTCTCAAAAAACAAGCAGCCGGGCGGTGGTGGCGCACGCCTTTAATCCCAGCACTCGGGAGGCAGAGGCCGGCGGATCTCTGTGAGTTCGAGGCCAGCCTGGGCTACCAAGTGAGTTCCAGGAGAGGCGCAAAGCTACACAGAGAAACCCTGTCTCGAAAAACCAAAAAAATAAAAATAAAAAGCAACAACAAAAAAGACATATAAGTTAAAAATTCAACTCTTGGGCTGGAAAGATGGCTCAGTGGTTAAGAGCACTAACTGCTCTTCCAGAAGACCCAGGTTCAATTCCCAGCACCCACATGGCAACTCACGCCTGTCTGTAACTCTAGTATCAGAGGATCCAGCACCTCTCACACATACACCAATGAATATAAAATAAAAATAAATTATATATTTTTAAAAAATTCAACTCTTCCTAGAGGCACTAAGGGATCTTTCTGTATGTACACACAATTAAATTGCATACCCTTGTTATGCAATTAATGTAAAACACATTTTACATTAATTTTCTAACGTACAGTGGAGAGAGGTCTACTTTCAGATCTTGACTTCAGTGCTATACCAAGGAGGTGCTTTAGTACTGACTATGCTTTAGAACCTAGTTCTTCGTTATATGAGGAAATAGCAATTTAATTTAATAGTTATTTAAAATGGTGTTATTTTGAATATATTATTTAAATAATAAATGTTTTCAACAAATTATAAGGGAAAGAAATAATGAACACATTTCTGATTGTAGTACAAGCAAGTTTTTTGTCAGTCATTAAAAACAATAGAAATTACCTATACGTTTAGAAATTAACACACTTCTAATCTTGCATAAGTAAATGAACAGCATGATGCTGGGTAAGTGATCAGTATATGGTCAGCATCAGCCATTATTAGAATTAGTATAATTGACCCTCTACATCCACCCACAATCAATCAACTATGGATCAAAAATATTGGGGATAAAAAATTATGTCTATCCTGAACATAGACAGACCTTTTTCCTTCAGCTTATTCTTTACAGTGTAGTGTAACAGTTACTCTCATAGCTGTTCTGTATATTAGGTATTATAAGTCATTTAGAGATTATTTAAACTCATGCACTTGTGTCTAGCCTGCAGCCTGCAGCCTGTGGGCTGCATATGCTGCAGGACAACTGTGAATACAAAACCAATACAAAATCATAAACCTGAAACATTAGGAGATTTTTATTGGTGAAATTATTAAGGCCACTCCACATAGTTAAAAGGAGATTTATTTAATGGCGTAACTTACAAATTAAGGGATAGGTAGGTCGTGGGGTCTGGGGAAAGTGTATCGCAGTCCAGCAGTGTTCTCTGGAGCTCTGCTTGGGCCACCTCCACCATCCAGGGTCCTGCCACCGAGTGAGCGCTCCCCGATCCAGATCTCGGGTCCCCAGGCGCCTCCCTTGGCCCCGCCTTGTAGGCGTGACAGTTGCCAAAGTCTCAATGGGAGTTGGAACTTCCAGATCAAAGCTGGAATGGCTACCCACTACAGATTTTTAAATTTTTTAAATTCTGTGCTTTGTTTTGTAGCTAGACTATGTGATTCTAGAGTGTAACTTTGAGAATGACAGTGTTGTGTTGAAAATCAGAAAGTTCAGAATGTGAACTATGGAGGATGATGTGCATAGGCTATATGCAAATACTGTGCCATTTAAAAGACTTGATCATCCATGGGATTTGTTTGGTTTAGTTTTGGTTTTGGTTTTTCAAAACAAGGTTTCTCTGTGTAGCCCTGGCTGACTTCGAACTCACTCTGTAGACCAAGCTGGCTTCAAACTCAGAGATCCTCCTGTCTCTGCCTTCCAAGTGTTGCGATTAAAGGTATGCGCCACCACTGCCCGGGCTATTCATGAGATTTTATTTTCTGGGGGTAATGGTATCTTGGCACCAAAGAGTAACTGTTAGTATTGAAGCTGAATTATATCAATTTAGTGCATATTTGTTTAATACTCTTTGGTAATTTCATATATGAATATAGTATATTTAGATCATAGCCATTTGCCCTCCCCTTCCTCCTAAATCTCCCTTACAACTTCATGTCAAAGTCTTTTTTTTTTTAAATAACCCACCAACCCCAATCAGTGCTTCCTCCCTACCCACATAAAATGTGCCTAGATGAGGGAAATTCAAGAAAAGAAAAGGCAACATAGGGTAAGACCTTGTAAAGCAGCTAAAACTTTGTACTAAATTCAGCTTTAAGCTTCCGGTAGCCAAAGAAGTATGGGAAACATTTTTCTTTTTTTTTTTTTTTTTTTTTTTTTTTTTTTTTTTTTTTGGTTTTTCGAGACAGGGTTTCTCTGTATAGCTTTGCGCCTTTCCTGGGACTCACTCTGTAGACCAGGCTGGCCTCGAACTCACAGAGATCCGCCTGGCTCTGCCTCCCGAGTGCTGGGATTAAAGGCGTGCGCCACCACCGCCCGGCTGGGAAACATTTTTCTAAGACTCAGAATGGTTGGACAAAAATGGCAGATAAAGTTTTCAGGAAAACATGCTTTTTCTGGTATTACAATCTGAGCAAAATGTGCATCCGTGAAAGATAGACTGTGTGTAATACAGAACAGGAGTCAGGCAACCATGTGGCAAACCTGGCCCACCATTTTGCTTTTGTAAATAAAGTTTTATTGGGATAGAGCCATGCCTCGTCCTACCCTGCCCTCTTCCTTTTTCTTTTCTTTTTTTAAACTTTCTTTTATTTTTTATTTTTTTTATTTTTTTTTAGGTTTTTCGAGACAGGGTTTCTCTGTGCAGCTTTGCGCCTTTCCTGGATCTCGCTCTCTAGACCAGGCTGGCCTCGAACTCACAAAGATCCGCCTGCCTCTGCCTCCCAAGTGCTGGGATTAAAGGCGTGCGCCACCACCGCCCGGCTTATTTTTTATTTTTTAAGACATGGTCTGACATAGCCTACCTAGTCTGACCTGGAACTTACCATGTAGCTGATGATGGTATTGACCCGCTGTCTCTGCCTCCTGAGTGATTGGATTATATGTGTTCACCACCATGCCCACCTCTTTTTGTTTCTTTGTTTTCTAAGGTTGGTTGGTTGGTTTTAGTTTTTTGTTCACATATGTCTGCTTCAGTATTCTTGTGAAGGGTTGAATAGTTGAAACAGAGATGTAGCTCACAAAACCCAATATGCTTAATATCTGGAAGATGTTTGCGAACTCCTGATTTAGGGATGACTCCTTAGCCACACCTCTGCTCTCCAAATCATATAAATTTGTAGCAGCATCCCTCAGGCTGGGGAGTGATTTTCAGGGTACTTACGTGAGAAACAACCCTACTAAAGGGACCTAGAAAGCAGGCCCTGTGAGCTACTCTTGTGTGTTAAGTGCTGAGCCCAATCTCCCTTAATTAACTTGCTCTGTTTTAATGTTAGAGCATGGTACCTCTTCCTAAGCCTTAGTGGTTGTGCACAGATTATTTCAGGCTACCTCTTGCTGTACTTCCTCTGGGTGTTTATGGTGCCCGTGGAAGCCTATATGGTTGGCTTTTTCTTGTGTTGTTTTTGTTTTGCCTTGCTTTTTAAATCATTGAGCCTTGCAGTGGGAAAGCACAGTGGTTCTTCTAGAGCCAGGGCATTTTTTTTTTATCTCCTGGGACAGCTGGTAATATCTAGAAACATTTTGACACATCTGTGGCTAGTATTACCAGCATCTAACGTGGGAGTGGGGCTGCTGCTCACCATCCTACAGTGCACAGGCCACACTATGACAAAGACTCATTTGATCCCAAGTGACAGTAGTGCTGAGATGACAAGCCCTATTTTAGAAATAGCAATATTTACATCATCTAACATTGTCTGATAAGAGAAGCCTCTGTCTGAAGGAGGTATTCAAGAACTGTAACTTAAGGCTTTTATTCTTTTTTAGAAGTACTCTGAAAGGCGCAGTCATTCTCTGTAAACATTTGGTCTGGGATGTAACCTTTACTGGCTGCTGCAGGGATTTTAGGTGAGCGGGCATAGTCCTGTACTTGAGGACCCTTAGAGGAAATGAGACAGGAAACTACTTTCGTGAGCAGTTTCCTTAGCAGGCTCAGTGAAGTCTGCCACTTGGGGGCTGGTGTGGGGCTAATCAGAAAATGGTGAGGGATCAGCATTTCAAGGTGAAGTACCCATTGAGGTGGTGGATTTTAGCCAGTGAGATAAGGAACCACGGAACAACAGAACTCAGTATTACACAAATAAGATTGTTTGATTGGAAGGGTAGACTTGGTGAATGGTTGGTGTTGTGTTGAAATCACAAGTCAGACATATGTTCTGTAGCGTTCACAGTGTAGTGGCACACAGAGCAACAGGGTAGCAAGGTTGGAGCTTTTCTTTAGAAAGATGCAAATGGGAATGGCTCATAGGTGGTTTTCAGGAGAAGGGCTGCATTTGTAGGGCCAGTCTGGACCCTGTCCGGCCTCCTCAGATGGAGGGGAACATGACCTAGTGCATGTGAATTTCCCGAGGGAAGGCCAGAGGACTAGGCCTCTCAGGATGAAGCTAGAGGAGAGAACTTGCAGGTGCCTCTGAGGTTTGAACCTGGGCTGTCAGAAAGCTGAATGTGCCACTGACAGATATAGGAACGGAGGACTGGGGTGGGAAGGCTGAGTCGTGGTAGATGGGATGTCCCTCCTGGGATGTCAACCCATTTGTCTTTCCCAAATGTCTTTCTTCCTTCTCTCAGTCTCCTCGGAGATGATTTTGACTTCTGTGTTTGGCTTTTCTTTTCTTTTTTCTTTTTTCTTTTTTTTTTTTTTTTTTTGAGACAGGATCTCACTGTATAGTTTTGGCTGACCAGGAACTTTCTATGTAGACCAGGCAGACCTCAAACTCACAGAGATCCACCTGCCTCCAAATGCTGGAATTAAAGGGGTACACTACTTTGCCCAGCCTTCTGTGCTCTTTTTATGGGAATTTCCTCTGATGTCAGCCCTGTGATTTGAGTCTAGTACTGAAGTGATTGCTTTGGTTTTAGGATTATTGTGATTGCCTGGCCTCTGTCTGCCTTGGTTTAGAGGATGTAAGTCCTTAATTTCTATGACAAGGTAGTACACCCAGGACTGGGTGTGGTCTCTAGACTCCTTTGGCTCTTCCAGCAGGGACCAATGGGGACTAAGAATGGGAGGAATGGAACGAACCATATGTGTAAGTAGCTTTAATGTATGTGCATGAATATCTATATAATGCCTGTTGACTTAATAAACCAGGATAGTTTATTTGCTGTTTCCTTTTGGTTCATTTTGGATCCATGTACTAATTTTTTTACCCTTTTGCAGGCATCTATGGACCAAACAGCTGCTCTGGTGCTGGATGGTGCCAATTTGGGGATCAGTACATGCCAGTCCATGGATAGAGGTAGCAACCAGACCTTTGGGAACTCCCAGAACATAGGAGAACAGGCCTTTCCCGCTGCAAACTCTGACTGCAGGTGAGCTTCAGAATGACTAAGCTGATGCTCCTGTTGGGTGGGGAAAGTTCAACCAAGGGCATAGTACTTGGGGGTCCAAAGCTCTGGGTCACGTTCTAACTGCTACACATCACATGTGGGACCCTGAGGGAGTCAGTCCTCATAGCCAAGTGACAAGGTGGAGGATCTATGTTCTCTCAGAGATGTATCACACGTAATGTCAGTCTTGGTCATGGTGGTGCCCATGGCATTATGCTTTGCACAAGGTGATATGCAGTCAGTAAGGAAATGCAGTAACAGTGGATGAGTCACACACTGTGGGTAAATGAGGCCTTTCTTTTCCTATTCCTAAGAATCCAAAGGAGAAGGGTACTGCATAGGCCTCAGTTGCTTAGTAAGTGTCCCAGCTTTTTTGTTTGTTTTAAGTCAGGGTCTCTTTATTATGACTTAAAACAGTTCTAGGACAGCCAGAGCTGTTCTAGAACTCTCTATGTAGACCAGGCTGGCCTAAAACTCAAAAAGATCCACCTGCCTCTGTCTCCAAAGTGCCGCTGGAACTAAAGGCATATGCCACAGTACCTAACTGTGTCCCAGCTTTTTTTTTTTTTTTTTTTTTTTTTTTGGTTTTTCAAGACAGGGTTTCTCTGTGTAGTTTTGGTGCCTGTCCTGGATCTCGCTCTGTAGACCAGACTGGCCTCGAACTCACAGAGATCCGCCTGGCTCTGCCTCCCGAGTGCTGGGGTTAAAGGCGTGCGACATGATCGTGCAGCTTTGTGTCCCAGCTTTTTAAAAGCATAAGGTAGAGTTGATGAGATGGCCAGTGTATAAAGAGACTTGCCATGCAAGCCTGACGACTTCAACTTGATCCTGGAACCCATGCCAGTGGAGAAGGAAAGTACCAACTTCACAAAATTGCCCTTCTGACCTACACACGCACACACTGATAGTTTTTAAAGGTAAAAGTATTTTTTCAATTTTTAATCAGGATCCAGGCATGGTGTGCACACCTTCAGTCTCAGCACTTAAAAGGCAGAGGCATGTGGATCTCTGAGTTCAAAGGCCACCTAGTCTACAGAGTGAGTTTCAGGACAGCCTGGGCTACACAGAGAAACTCTTATCTCGAAACGCTCTCCCACCCCCCAACTTTTTTCTTCAGTCAGGGTTTGGGGATGTACCTCATTTGGTAGAGTGCTTGCCTAGCACACAGGAAGCTCTGAGTTCCAGCCCTTATGCTTTCTTATACACGTAGCTGTAACCCCTGCACTTGTCAGATAAAAGCAGGAGGAGCAGAGGTTCAAGATCATTCTTGGCTACATAGTGCATTTGAGGTCAGCATGGATGTATGAGACTTGTCTCGAGAAAAAACGACCCCCATAATTGTACGTGTTTATGGGGTATGTGCCCTCGGTTTTGATGCCGTTGTCAGTTTTGAGAAACTTTCTTTCTTGGCTACGGATGGCAGTTCTACTTAACCTGTTCTTCCTGCCTCACTGTATTGACTGAGCAGACTTAGCTGTGTGCTCTGAGAAACATGACATGGACACCCCTTTCCCTGGGAGCAGCCGGTGCTCTTGGCTCCTCACTGGCTGGTCCCTGTCGGCAGTTCCTGACGTTCCTTATGCCATAAGCTCTGTACTGATTTTGCCTCCACTGCATCCACCAGAGTGTTCATTTGGACTAGTAGAGGCGATGCTTGTTCAGTGCTAACTTTTCTGCTCTGACTTCTCTCAGGCCCAAGTCCTCACCATACCTGGCTGGCTTTTGGTCCTAGCCGTGGAGGAGAGTCGGGGGCTGCTCAGTGTGTAAGAGGAAAGTACATTCATGTGCTTCCTCATTGCTCAGGAGGGTAGAGAGGCAGGGGTTTTTTTCTGCTTTTGGAAGAAAGAGGAACTGGAATATTGGCTAGAGGTGAGAAGACCAAAAATGCTGTAGTAAGCCAAAGCAGGACGCCTGACTGACAGTGACGCAATGTGCATCCCATTTCACGATAGGGAACTTAGTAGCTAGCAGTGGGTACAGCTGCACTGGGAAAAGCTGAGTCCTCTGCCTCTGAAGGTGTTAGCTTAGGCCTTCTCTTGACTACACACTTGAGCTCAGATTCAGGATTAGAAAAAAGTCTCTCCAAAGGTTTTGAAGGCTCTTTCTAACCCTGAGATTCTGGTTTTAGGTTTTTGTGCTAGGGATTAACACAGGGCTTGAGATTCTGAAATGATGAATTGAGTCCTGAAACCCCTCCCAAAATAGGCACCCAGAAGACTGTGGAATAGAAGAAAGGGAAAAGTTTGAGGAGTTTCTGATTGAGACCAAGAACTAAGTAGTTTGGTGTGGGGGAAGAGGGGCCCTCAGCTGCTGAGCAGACTCTTTTTCTTCTAGATCTCCCCACCCCCATCTATGAAATAGGTCTTTCCATGTAGCCTAAGTTGATCTCAAACTCATGATCCTCCCAACTCAGCCTCTGGAGTGCTGGGATTATAGCTAAGTGCCACCACAGCTGACTTAAGCGTGTTTTAAGCACTGTCACACCTTCAAGGCAGAACTTGGGCAACAGATGGTAGGAAGAGCGGGACTTTGGAATGTGACTCACTTGATTGAAATCTGGATTCCGATGCTTCCCAGCTCTCGCACCTTCACCAGTTCATTTAGCTAGTCTGACTTGCTTTAGTGTTGGCTACCATTGTAGGCACCACGTGTATCAGTCTCGTGCCTATCTATCCTGAAAGACATGAACAACACTGTTCCTGTTTTCAGATAAAGAAATAAAGACCAAGAAAATCTAGGTGTCCTACAACTGGTTAGTGATAATTCCAGGGTTCTTTCCTGTAAGCTCTCACCTAAATTATCACACAGCAGTCTTTGATTGGCCAAGGTTAAGTAACATGTGAGAGGCCATCAGGCATAATCAGAGCAGCTAAGTCTTCTAGGAAACATAATTATTAATGGTGCTAGAAATATGTCTCTGCTTAAGAACTGTCATGCTCTTCAGAGAACGTTAGCTGAGTCCCAGCACCCACATTGTGTGGCTCACAACTGCCAGTTTCAGGGAATCCAAAGCCTTCCTCTGACTTTCACAGGAAGAATATAAATAAAAGAATAAAAATGAAAGAGAAATGTGATTGAGAAGGAGATGCTTTTTAAGGGTGCTGTGTTTAGATACAAAATCATTTTGCCTTTTAAAAATGTGTATATATACTTTGGAAATAGGAATACATTGTGAACTAGCCTCAGGATGTAACTGTCCAGAATTTTCCTGACTGTCTTCAGTTTCAATATTGTCCTGGTGTCTGGCTCCAGAAGAAGCAGAGATTTTGTGGGCTGGTATCGCTTAGAGGAGGAACACTTGTTCACCACGCATGAGGTCTTGGGTTCAGCCCACAGCACTGAAACAAAAACCCACTCTTGGCTGTGTTATACTTTGTGTTACAGCTCTCAGCAGCATGTAGCAAGCTCTCTGACATCATCCTCTACCCTGGTGGAGATTCTGGAAGCCATGAAGCATCCCTCGTAAGTGACTAGGCACATTTATGAAGCAAAAGCAGACTATCCCTGAGGGAAGGCTGGCCATGGTGGTGTGGGTGGGTAGATTTATACCTTACTCTGCTGCTTACCAGCTGTGAGATGTGGGCAAGTTACCTGACCTCCCTGAGCCTCTGCCACCTCGTTTATACAATGAGATTTTTAAATTATATTTTATGTACTTACTTGTGGGGAGCTAGAGGGCATGCACGTGTCTGGGCTCTTGTACACAGTTATAGATGGAAGTCAGAGGACAGCTTGCAGGAGTTGATCCTCTCCTTCCAAATGAATTTAATCCTCTAGAAATTGAATTTAAGTTGTCAGGTTTGGTGGCAGGCACCTTTATGTACTGAGTATCTTTCGAGTCCTTACCATGTGTTTCTACACACATGGTAATGAAATGATTAAATTCTTTTGTGAACTATCTAGTATAATGCCTGACAGATAATGTATTTTCTAAATGTCCCTTCTTCTCTCAGTTCTTTTTTTCCTGTCATCGGGACTTCCCTCAGCCCAGGAGTTATGTGGAGAACCCTCCCTTCAGACAGTACATGCTCTGGTGGAGAACCCTCCCTTCAGACAGTACATGCTCTGGTGGAGAACCCTCCCTTCAGACAGTACATGCTCTGGTGGAGAACCCTCACTTCTCATCTTTTCTTTTTCCTTATTGCCACTGGACACATGTTTCCTGCTCGCTCATTGGAATTCAGGACAGGAGTCCAGCTGCTCTCTGAACAGAAGGGCCTGTCACCGTGCTGCTTCATCAGTGCTGAGGTGGTACACTGGCTGATGAACAATGTGGAGGGGGTCCAGACACAGGCGATGGCCATTGACATCATGCAGGTGAGGCAGCAAGGAGGGCTTGTCTGCTCAGATCATTGTGATCAGGGTCTGTCACAGAAGTAGTCACCCGTGACAGTAAAGAGATTTGCAAGTTGGGGTGAGGACCTGTTTTTAACTAATGGGAGGTCTATCTGGAACTAATAAAAGGACTGGTCTTCCTTTGAAAGATACTTTGAAGACCTTAGGGTTAGAAGTGGTCGCACAAGCCCCCAACAGCACTGAGGAAGTGGCGGCAGGAGGATCATAAGTTAGAAGCCATCCTATTCTACATAGAGAGACCTTGTCTTAGAAATGCATAAAGAGGCCGTGTGTGTGTGTGTGTGTGTGTGTGTGTGTGTGTGTGTGTGTGTGTGTGTGTGTGTGCGCGCGCGCGCCACATGTGTGCAGATGCCAGAAGAGGGCATCACATCACCTGGAATTAGGATTGCAGGTGGTTGTGAACTGCCATGTGGGTTCTGGAATTCAAACCCAGGTCTTCTGCAAGACCAGCCTTTACCACTGAGCCATCTCTCCAGAACCATTACCTATTTTTCTTTATACTTTTTTTTTTCTGAAGATTTATTTTGTATTTGTGTGTGTGTGTGTGTGTGCGTGTTTGTCTGTCTTTCTGTCTGTCTGTAGGCAGATGTATGCAGGTACTCACAGAGGCCTGAAGAAGGTGTCAGATCACCTGGAGCTAGAGTTGTAACACATGGTTGTAAGCAACTGACATGGGTGCTGAGGCAGAATGTGGGTCTCTGTGAGGGTTCTTAAGCACTGAGCCTTCTCTTCAGCCCATTGCCTCCTGCCTCCACCTCCCCAAACACTGGATTGCAGGGGTGTGCACCACACCTAGTCATAAAGACTGCCTTCTGAATAGGGCAAGGTAGTCTCTATATATAGTTTTTGTTGTTTGTTTTTTTAATATAAAACATTTTATGTGTATGTTTGTGTACTACATGTGCACCTAGTGTCTGCAGACCAGAAGAGGAAGTCAGATCTCCTGCAACTGGACCAGGCTGGCCTCAGACTCACAGAGATCCACCTGCCTCTGCCTCCTGAGTGCTGGGATTAAAGGCGTGCGCCACCACCGCCCGGCTCACTTAACCATCCTTAACCACTGAGCCATCTGTCTCTCCAGCCCCTCCCTTTGTAGATTTAATCCATATTTCTCTAAACATTTTTTGACCTTTATTGCCCATTTGTATTTCATTTTTTGAGAATTCTCTGTTTATTAGTCCATTTATTGACGGGGTTGTTTTATTTGTTGTGGTCTGTTTTTATTTTTTGTCTTTTGTTCTTTTCAAAGTGTAGACATTAATTCTCAGTCAGATGTGTAACTAGCAAAGGTTTTCTTCCATCTGTGCAGGCTGTCTCTTCACTAACTGCCCCTCTGCTGTGCAGAGGCTTTCTTGTTTACTTTGTAGTTTCAGGACACCCTCACCTATACCTAGATCTTAGGTAGTTTCCCTGCCCTTTCCTCTAAGAGGTTCAGAATTCCAAGTCTTACATTAAAGTTCTTGATCCATTAGGAGTTGAGTTTTGTGCATTGTGAGATAGGAATCTAGTTTCATTCTTCTACATGAGGAGATACAATTTTCCTACCACTATTGTTGAAGACTGTCTTCAGTGAGGGTTTTTGTTTCTGTTTTTCCATCTTTGCAAAAATCTGGGGGCTATGACTGCTTGGGTTTATATCTGGCCCCTTTATTGTATTCTACTGATATGTTTGGGGTTTTGTTTTTTTGTTTTTGTTTTTGATTTTTGTGCCAGCGAGGTATTGTAGTATAACTTGAAATCAGGTATGAGGTATTGTAGTATAACTTCAAGGTATGGTGATCTCTCCAGCATTATTCTTTTGTTTTGTTTTGTTTTGTTTTTTGAGACAGGGTTTCCCTGTGTAGCTTTGTGCCTTTCCTGGAATTCACTCTGTAACCCAGGCTGGCCTCGAACTCACAGAGATCCGCCTGGCTCTGCCTCCCGAGTGCTGGGATTAAAGGCATGTGCCACCACCACCCGGTGCATTATTCTTTTTGTTCACAATTACATTGGCTGTCTATGCTTCCATATAAACTTTAAGATTTTTTTTTCCTATTTATGTGAAGAATGGCATTGGAATTTAATGGGCAGTGCATTGAATCCATAGATTGCTTTTGGTCATATTAATTCTTTTTTTTTTTTTTTTGGTTTTTCAAGACAGGGTTTCTCTGTGTAGCTTTGTACCTGTCCTGGAACTCACTCTGTAGACCAGGCTGGCCTCAAACTCACGGAGATCCACCTGCCTCTGCCTCCCAAGTGCTGGAATTAAAGGCATGTGCCACCACCGCCCCGCCATATTAATTCTTATAATCCATGAGCATAGGATTAAAATCCATAAAAAGAATTTGGTTACACCTTTCCTTTTCTGTTTCATGGAATAGTTTAAGAAGCACTGGTCGGGGGTGAAAAGCAGCAGCAGCATTGGTATTAATTCTTCAAAGGTCTGGTAGATCATCAGTGAACCAAGATGACCTTGAAGCCCTCATCCTCCTGCCTCCACCTTCCCAGTGGGATTACAGGGCTGTGTGCCACAACTAGTTTTCCTTACGGGATTTTGGGAGACATTCCCTCAGATGAAGAGAATTATACTGCCTAACCGATTGTTATATTTATTGAAGTTAGATGGTTTTCTACTTGGGAGTTTTTCTTTACTTTCTGTATGTTTGAAATGTTTGATGAACTACATATACTTTATAACTTAGAACAGGTTCATTTTCACATAGCACATTCTAATGGGGGCCAAAGGTATGATCTCAGTTCTTACTGAGATCACTAACTACCTTGACTGCTACACACAAGCAAGAGATGCCTCTTTGAGATGTCACCTGCAGTAATTTCAAGTTTTCATTGTCTCTCCTAGAAAATGCTGGAAGAGCAGCTCATAACACATGCGTCTGGTGAAGCCTGGAGGACCTTCATCTATGGCTTCTATTTCTACAAGATAGTAATGGACAAAGAGCCCGATCGAGGTCAGAGCCAAAGCACATGCAGTCACCACAGGGGCGAGTACTTTTCCTAATCTTTCACATCACAGTGCATCTTGAGCTCCATGTGTGGCTTTGTTTTCTAAGTTGACACTCTGTTAACTTTTTTTTTTTTTTGCATTTGTACATTTTTAAGCATAACTGAATGACAATGTTGTTTTTTTAAAAGATTTATTTAGCTATTTTTAAGAGAGAGAGAGTGAGTGCGTGCACGCGCATGTGACCAGAGGTGTTGGATCTTCCTGGAGCTGGAGTTATAGACAGTTATAAGGCATCTGATTTGGGTGCTGGAAACCAAACTGGAGTCTTCTGCAAGAGCAGCATAGCATGCACTCTTAACCACACAACCACCTCTCTAGTCCAGACAATGTATTTTTCAGCTACAGTGTTTTTATTGAGGACAGTGTTGGTGGAAGATAAACCAAAACGAGGCCAAGGTACCTGGTTCAGAATTTTCTATGGGTCATATTTTGGTGCCTTAACTCCCACTCTGCCTCCATCCTGCTCAGTTGGTTCTGATGATAATGTGATGGGCTCCAATAGTACTTTATACTTACTGGGCTTTCAGGTCCCACATACTCCTTCAAGAAGACTACCAAGTTTTCCAAGACATGTTTTAAATAAAGTCACTCTTTGGTATCAGAGGAGGATTAGCTCAAGGAACCCATCTCCTCTGAGATACAAAAACAAAAACAAACAAACAAAACCCACAATATTTAAGGCCTATACATAAAATGGCATGGTTTTACATATAACCTGTTTACACTCTCGTATTATTTTTAATGATTTATTTTTCTGTGTGTGTATGTGTGTGTGTGTTTATTTGTGTACCCCATGTGTGTGTAGGTGCCAGCAGAGACCAAAAGATGGTGTTGGATCTCCTGAGTTATAGACAGTTATAGAGTTATAGACAGTTGTGAGCCACCATGTAGATGCTAGGAACTGAACCCAGGTCCTCTGCAAGAACAGCCAGTGCTCTTAAACACTAAGCCATCTCTCTAGCCCCTTCCCTTATATTCTTTAAGTCATCCCTAAATTATTTATAATAACTGATAATAAAGTACTGCTGTATTGTACTATATTGTTCAAGAAACAAGAAAAATTTTGATCATATTCAGTATAAATACTCTCCCTGCCCCCCTGACCCAAATATTTTCATCTATGTGATCAAATCTGTAGGTGTATATATAGCTCATGAGTCCAGGGAGCTAACTGCCTGTGTTTGTCTGTTTATTGTGGTTCTGGAATGGAACAACCCAAGGCTTGTGCACATTAAACAAACACTCTGCTACTTAGCAACACTTTAACCCCACCCCTTTTTAATGAAAAAAAGGAATTCATTGGGAAACAATTTATAACATAATTTCTGGCTTGTGTAGCTCTGGAGGCACCAGGTAGTCAGACCAGCTTCCATAGTGTATGAATTTCAGATGTGTGGGAACTGGTTGGAAGTGACTCCCACATTGTGTAAATCACTTCTTCCCCTCTGGGTCCATATGTGATATGGTATAGTTGGTGCCATTCACTGTGTGCTGTGGTTAATACAGTATCTATTTTACCTTCTAATAGAAAAAAGGAAAAACCCGTAACATTTTATGTCCTGTAATTATTATAGAACTGATAAGATTTTTAAAATTGAATTAAAGCTTATATAACATAAAATTAACAAAACATAACAAAAGCCATTCACAGTATTGTGCAACCACCACCTCTTTTCTTTCTTGTTAGCTGTTACTGCCCAACTCCTCCCTTTCTAAACACTCCCTGTACAAGCACTTGTAGGCTTTGTGTTTCTAAAACTGTCATGTGTGGAGATATGTAATCCATAGGCTTTTACACCGGGCTCCTTTCACTTAGCATAATGTTTATGGTCTATCTGTATTGTACCATTCATCAGTCAGAAAAGCAGCATTGTGACAAGGGATCCTTTACTTCCCCCTGCTTTTTACCAGTGCCTATGCAGCAGCCCACTGCCCCCTGGCACACAGCAGGAGTGGATGACTTTGCCAGCTTCCAGCGCAAGTGGTTTGAGGTGGCCTTTGTGGCAGAAGAGCTTGTGCACTCTGAGATTCCTGCCTTCCTCCTGCCCTGGCTACCCAGCCGGCCAGCCTCTTATGCAAGCAGGCACAGCTCCTTCAGTCGAAGTTTTGGAGGACGGAGCCAGGCAGCTGCACTGTTAGGTAAGTTCTTGACCTAGCTGGAGTCTGGGAATAGCTGGTGGCTGGGGAAGGGCGGTCACTAGCCTTCTAGCGTGTATAAGGCCCTACTTAGAACCACAAGAAAATTGTTTGTTTGTTGTTTGTTTGAGAGAGGGTATTACTGTGTGGTCCTGGCTGGCCTGCAGTGAACAAAGTCCACTTGTCTCTGCTTGATTTAAAGCAGAGGCTCTTAACCTGTGGGCCTTAACCCCTTTCACAGGGGTCACCTAAGACCACCGGAAAATGCAGATATTTACATTACGATTCATAACAGTAGCAGCATTACGGTTATGAAGTAGGAACAAAAATAATTTATGGGGGGGGGGGTCACCACAACATGAAAGACTATATTAAAGGCTCTCGGCATTAGGAAGGTTGAGGACCACTGGTTTAAAGCCATGCACCACCATGCCTAGCAAGAAAAAAAATGTTTCTAAGTAAAAACGAGTAAATTAAGATACCTTATGACTGGGTGTGGTGGGCTCCATTTTAATCCTAGGACTTGGGAAGCAGAGGCAGGAGGATCTCTGTGAGTTCAAGGATAGCCAGGATTGAACTCATAGAGAGACCCTATCTCAAAACACCAAAAAGAGAAAAAAAGATAATCTCTTTCTGGCCAGATGTGGTTGGTGGTACAGATCAGTAATTCTAGCACTTGCGAGGCAGAAGCAGAGCAGGGATTGTGAGTTTGAGGCCAATCCAGGCTGCATTGTAAGGCCCTGTCTCAAAAAACTAACCAGTTTATTTATTTGCTAAATAAATAAACAGGAAAAAAGACCTAAGATAACTTACAGAAGAGAAAGACCTGAGTTTCACTACTGCCTGTGATTCAGTGGGGTTTTGTTTGTTTGTTTGTTTTACTGTTGTTTGGGGTGGCTTTTTGTTCGCTTGTTCCTTTTTTAAAACCCGTGAGTCTCATTTGGAAGTAGTGGCAGAAAGCTGTTTTGAAATGCCTAATGTTGATATATGGACCTTTGGCTTGACCTGTGGTGGCTTGCAGAAACAGTACCACATGCCTTCCACTCATGCTCACGCACATTCTTCTCAGGCTTACCCTGACAGTCTGTTAGATCTTGGAGTCAGGAGAGACTGTTGCATTCTTTTCTATCCAAACTGATCCCTAAACTTTTTCCAAAGCATTCCTGATGAATATGGAGCTAGCTTCTTTTTAAAAACTTCCTTCAATGTGGCCCTCACTGTTGAGACTTGCTCCATTGTGAGGCAGCTCTAGCTGTGAGGGCTGGGCTTCAGTGTTCTTTCTCCTCTTGTGATTCTGACCTGCCCCCTAAAGTGCTGACTGTGTTTCTCTTCTGGGCTGTGCACATTGATTAGACTTCCCATGTAGTGGGCTGTACCTTTGTCCATACTGAAAGCCTGCTAGAAGCCCAAATCCAGTGATATAGTAATTACCACTTGGGTGCCCCCTAGACTCACCTATTCTGCACTTAACAGACCTGATAATAGAAGAGAGATGTTCAAAGTCACTGCTGATGTTTATCACTTGCCTTTGGTTTTATGACTGAGGCTCTTTTACCTGGAGGAATAAATACATGGTGTGCAAGCCCAGAGAACACAGCCTTCTTTGATGTGGACTGTTGAATAAAGAGCTCCTGAGAGTGTCATAAATCAGGAACATGAAGCCCAGACGGAATCTAGCTTCAGTGAACGTTTTAGTATCAGAGTGACCAAGTAAGGGTACCAAATGTGCCTCGAGTGTTCATCAAGCTTTGAGCATTAGTGAGTCTCATGTCATGGAAGGAAGGCTTAATGGGAACAGAGAAAATAGACAAAAAGTAGCCAGAGGAGAAGGCAAGTGAGAGAGTCTATAAACATTTCTCAGCCATGTATTTCTTAGCTGGGCTGCCCTATCAGTTTGCAGACAAGGAAGCAAGGTTTTCAGAGCCGTGTGTGTGGCTGGAATCTCAGGAGCTTGGCTCTTCCAGCTCCAGATTAAGAACTTTGCCCATTCTTCATGTTCTAGTATTGGGAGAGCGTCATTCGGGCCTGAGCTAATGCTCTCCGGCCTTCCAACAGAAGCTCATTACATTTATTGACTTAGGAGTCACTCATAGCTTCTACGTGCAGAGTCCAGAACCTGACTGACTCTTTCAGAGAGAAAAAAGCTGTGAGGAGTAGGGAAATGAAAGCAGGTCCTGATTTATGGAAAACCTAGGTGTGCTGAGTGTGGTTAGTGTCCATGGAGGTCAAAGCCCTGTGACAGGATAGGCTTCATTAGAACTGTCATTTCCTGGGAAAATATTGTAGAACTAATACCTTCCTGGGATGAAACCAGAAAAGTAATACTTCCTCCTCACTATGGTCTAGGCTGTTTTTCCTTTTATCTGTTGGTGGGTCATTGAGTCCTGAAGATCTTGGGTACAACCTGGTTGAGTTTCTGACTCTGTGATTCTGGTTAAGAGAACATCTCTCCCCCATAAAAGAAGGGAATGACTTGACTCAGGAGTCAGACTGCAACATAATTGGCTAAATCCAGCTTATGATTTGCTTATAACTGACCCTCTACACTTTTTTACATTTGCATGTATTTGTGTGTGTGCGTACATGGAGGCCACAAGAGGACATTGGGTATCCTTCTGTATCACTCTGGGACTCTTCAGTCTTTGAGGCAGGATCTTTCCCTGGGGCTTTGTGTTTTCTCAGCTAAGCTGGAAGCCAGCAAGCCCCAGTGATCCTCCTGTCTCTGTCTCCTTTGGAGCTGGTTGCAAGTGTGTAGGGGATACCTGGCTTGTTATGTAGGTACTGGGGTCTGACCTCTGGACTCCATTGATTGTGCAACAAGTACTCTTAAGTGATAAGCCATTTCTCCAGCCCCCAGATTTCGTTTTTTTGAGACAGGGTCTGACTATATAGCAAAGATGTCCTCTAACTTACATTTCTCCTGCCTCAGCCTTCTGAATGCTAGTATTATAGGTTTAAGCTACCATGTGTGGCTATAATCACTAATTTTCTTAAAAGGAATTTTAATTCTTCAGCCCAGTTGAGCAAAGACTTCCCATAGATCCCCTGCTCCTCTTACACCCAGCCTCCTTCACTGCCAACTCTCACCAGAATGACATTTGTTCTGATCCACAAACCAACATGGATGCACTATCATCACCCAAAATCCACAATTTGTATTAGGGCTTTCCTCTTGGTATTGAACATTCTGTGGGTTTGTATAAATTTACAGTGGTGTAACATACAGAGTAGCTTATTACCCAAAAATTTCATCTGTTTTTATAAAGTTTTATTGAAACATAGCTGAACCCATTTTTTTTTTTTTTACATAATGTCTGTGGAGCTTTTGCCCTACAGTAGCACAGCTGCTTACAGACAGCTCATAAAGCATACAATATTTATATCTAATGGCAAGCAGAACAAGTATTTTGTAGACCCCTGAACTGTTGACTGGTGATTTTCAGAGATAGGAACCTCTGTTGGGCACTTCTGCAATTTCACATTTATGGTGCTTAGCTGTTCATTCTTCTACATGATCCCACTCCTGTGCCTCTCTCTCTCTGTCCCCACCCCCGCTGTGTGCTGACACAGCTGCCACTGTCCCAGAGCAGAGGACTGTGACCCTGGATGTTGATGTGAACAACCGAACGGACCGCCTGGAGTGGTGCAGCTGTTACTACCATGGAAACTTCTCTCTCAATGCAGCCTTTGAGATCAAGCTACACTGGATGGCGGTGACTGCCACAGTACTCTTTGAGATGGTGAGACCATCACCTCACTTTATGGCAAGGGGGTGCTTTGTGGTTCCTGTCACTTCCACATAACCTTTGACCTGTTAGGATAGCCTTAAAACATTAAACATAGAGGGAGTTCAGAGTGTCAGTGTTTTTTCGCCTCAGCATTACTGAATTGGGGCCAGATGATTATCTGTTGTGAGTGACTGTCGTGCCCGTTTGTAGGTTGTTGAAATACGTTCTGGCCTCTACCTATTGAATACCGGTAGCATACCACTAGCTGTGCTAACCAAACATTTTCCAAAACTTGGAGCCACTGGTCCAGAGTGAAAAGCAAATGTCCATCTCTCCCTTGTGTCCTGGGACTTCCGTCTAAAAGCAGCCATCACTATCGCCATGTTTAGAACACAGGGTTCTGTGTCTATATACAAAATAGGGATGGTAGGCTGGCCATGGTGGCTCACACCTAAAAACAAAAAGTCTCAGCACTTGGAATGCTAGGTAAAAGATCACCACAAGCCGGGCGGTGGTGGCGCACGCCTTTAATCCCAGCACTCGGGAGGCAGAGCCAGGCGGATCTCTGTGAGTTCGAGGCCAGCCTGGACTACCAAGTGAGTTCCAGGAAAGGCGCAAAGCTACACAGAGAAACCCTGTCTCGAAAAACCAAAAAAAAAAAAAAAAAAAAAAAAAAAAAAAATCACCACAAGTTCAAGGTCACTTAGCTACATACACACATTCCAGATCAGCCTAGAATTCAGAGTGAGAATGCACTTAAACACACATGCTAGATACGTATTATTTACATTGTGTTTTTCTGTTTCCTGTGTATTTTCCATACCAACACGAATAAGTCTGCTTTGTGTTTTACTTATTGGATTTCTTTTTTGCCTCATTGTTTCCAATGGCTACAGAATATTCTAGTATTTGTTTATTCCATAGTTTACCTCACCAATTCCCAGTTGGTGAATTGGTTTGTCCAGTTGATAAAACCAGTTATCACTGGTTTTGACTTGCGGTTCCTCAAACAAGGGTGAGTTTATCTTCTGGGGGCCTTTGGCAGTATCTACAGATATCTTTGTCAACCCCACAACAGGAGGAGGGTTGGATGTATTATTAGCATTTAATGGACAGCAACCAGAGTTCTCAGTGTTAATGATCAGGTCCCTCAAAGAAGTAACTGGCCCTCAGTTTCACACATGTTAGCTGGCCTTGCCTGTCTTTCTTTCTGCTAGTCTGTCTGGCCTCCCTGTGTGTCCTGTGCTGTGAAGCCAACCCCCAAACCACTGCCCATCCCCAGCCAAGGCACTGAAGCCCTCCTTAGCTGCCCATGTCTTCTCAGAGCCCTCCTTAGCCGTTACTACAGTCCTCTTCTCCTCCTTTTATGCTCACAAGTTCAGCCCCCCAAAATATTTTCATGCATCACTTGAGTCCCACTCCCCTCTAACACCAGCCCAAACACTTAATCACATAACTGAGAACAGCTGGAAAGTGAAAACAATTATTTAGTGAATGGTGGGAGAGCTCTTGAGAGAAATAAGTGCAGCACAGGATAGCAAGGTAGTTTTCAAGATTTGTAAGCCTGATTTGGTCTTACAAAACATGGAATATTGGGGCTATTTCTCTTGGTCTGTTTCTGTTTGGCATTAGTATCTTCAAGGACTCCTCCCTTGGGAAGGTACTTATCCAAGGAGCATCTGTAAGATCCGAGTTAAGGGAAGGCGGTATCCAGGGAGATGGCTCGCTGGGTAAAGTCCTTAATTGTGCAAGATTGAGGACCTATGTTCAGATCCCAGCACTCCTATAAAAGCCAAATACAACAGCAAGTGTCTCTAACACTAGGGCTGGGGGCGGGGGGGGGCGGGAACGGCACAAACAGGTGGAACTCAGGGGCTTAGTGGTCAAGCCAGCTTAGCCAAAATGACAGACTTCAAATTCAGTGAGAGACCCTATCTCAGAATATTTGCTTGCTGCCAAGCCTGGCAACCTGGGCCCTACATGGTGAAGAGAGAATCGACTGATTCTCATAAGTCCTATACACACTCTACCTCTCTTTCTTTCTCAAGTAAATAAGGTGGAGGAACTGGGGAGATGGCTCAGTGGATAAGGCACAACCATGAGGACCTGAGTTTGAATCCCCAGAACCCATGTAAAGTCAGGCATGGAAGCACCTGTCTGTATCCCAGTGTAGGGGCAGAATCCCTAGAAGGTAGCCTGGCATACACAGCTGTGAAAAGAGTCCCTGTCTCAAGCAGGGTGGAAGGTGAAGAGCAACATCCAGTGTTGTGCCCTGACCTCCACACATGCATTGTGGTGTGTGTGCACACATGCAAACACACTTGTATCATGTACACACAAAATAAGGTGGAGAGTGGTAGAGGAAAACACCCAACCTTGACTTGTCTCACATGCACGCACCAAAGACCCAAGTCAATAAGGATACCAGCCACTAGACATGGAGGCATGCATCTGTAATCCCAGATGTGAGGTGAAAGTGAAAGGTTCCAAATTCTAGACCAGCATGGGCTACACAGCAAGACTGTGGCTCAAAAACACAAAACAAAACAGGAAAGAAAGACTGTTTCGGGTGCTCAGCCAGCTCAGTTCACCTTGTGGAGGACATCAGCTCTTCTCCAACAGACTGACAGTGGGATGACTGTGTCTCAGAACAACATGCAGCATGTCCACAACACTCACATACACCTATGGAGTTACAGGCAGGCAGGAAGAGAAGTGTCATTTCTGCCAAGGAGTTTAGCAACTCTCTTTAAAAAGTTCAGTTTTCATACCTATTCATTTAAGCCTCACTGAAATCAGCTAATACATTTATCATAGTGGTTTTTTTGGTGTGGGTTTTTGTTTGTATGTGTGTTTGTGTGTTTGTTTTGTGTGTGTGTGTTTTGGTTTGTTTTTGGTTTTTCGAGACAGGGTTTCTCTCTGCACTCTGTAGCCCTGGCTGTCTTTGAACTTCTGGCTGTCTGTAGACCAGGCTGGCTTGGAACTCACAGAGATCCACCTGCCTCTGCCTCCCTAGTACTAGGATCAAAGGTGTGCGCCACACCACTGCCCAGCAAGTTTTATGTTTATTAAGCTGTAATGTAGATGACTTCTTTTAAGGTAGTGCCCATGTTTGCTACAAAGCAGATCTCCCCCTCCCCCTGCCCCCTACACCACCCCGAGACAGGGTCTCTTTGTATAGCCCTTGCTGTCTTGGAACTCACTCTGTAGACCAGGTTAGCCTCAAACTTACAGAGATCTACCTGCCTCTGTGTCCTGAGGGTTGGGATTAAAGGAGTGTACTGCCACCACCTGGTTTACAAACCAGATTTTATGAGGATAAATATTACCTCAAATAAAAAAATTATTAACAAAGCTCTAGAAATTATATCAGTCAAACTAGAAATTCTGGCTTTATGTTTGTGTTTTGTCTTTTAATTTTTTAAATTTTACTTTGTTATTTTGTGTGTGTGAGTGTTTTGCCTGCATGTCTGTCTCTGTACCATGTAGTGCTCCCAGAGGCCAGAAGAGGATGTTGGATTCCCTGAAACTGCAGTGGAGGTCCTCTGCAAGAGCAGCTAGTGCTTTTAGCCGCTGAGCATCTCTCCAGCTCCCACTCTTGTGTTTGTATTTGTGTCTCTGAAGGAACTAAGAGTTGTCCTCTGTTTTTGTTTTTGTATGTATGTAACATTTGTGTACGATGTATGTCTGGGTGTTTTCAGGTGCACGCATGCCTGTGCAACAACCTCATGTAGGAGCACAGGGTTACGGACCCACGCTTCCATGCCAGCCTTTGTAAAAGTGGGTTCCAGGGCTGCAGAGATGGCTCAGATGTCAGCACTGGCTGCTCTTCCAGAGACCCAGGCTTCATTCCTAGCACCCACGTGGCAGATCAGAACTGCTTGTAACTCCAGTTCCACACATACACATACACCGAAAAATAAAAAGAAATAATCTTTGATGTGTGCTCCGGGTATTTGAAATCAGATCCTCATGCTTCTATATCAAATACTTTACCTACTGAGCCATCTACACAGCACCTTCAAGTTTTTAAAGAATCGTACTTAAACAAGTCAAGCTATAGCTGAACTATAAGGATGGGAGTCTTGATACACTACCCAGCCCGGTTTAGAAACCCTGGCACAAGTGGTCGTCCTGCCTTAGCCACCCAAGTCAAGTAATTGGGACCATGAATATGTGCCACCATCCTCAGCCTGTATCTTTTAATGCTTGACTGAAGCAGAGGAGCCCAGAGTTCAGACAAGCCTGGGCAACATTTTAACACCCTACCTGGAAAAATAAATAAATAAATAAAAAATGGATGTGATTCTCATCAGATCTCACCTCTATGACAGAGCCACATCCATGAGCTTCTTACTTCTTTTGTTTATGGGGTGGGGTGAGTGTTCTCCGAATGGAAATCAGGACCTCACCCTGGACAAGCTATCCATCACTAGCATATAACTTTAGCCTGGGGTTTTTGTCTTCAGGCTTGGGGTAGGGGGAGATTTTTGGTTTTGGTTTTGGTTTGTTGGTTTGTTTGTTTGGTTGGTTTTGGTTTTTCGAGACAGGGTTTCTCTGTGTAGCTTTGCGCCTTTCCTGGAACTCACTTAGTAGCCCAGGCTGGCCTCGAACTCACAGAGATCCGCCTGGCTCTGCCTCCTGAGTGCTGGGATTAAAGGCGTGCTCCACCTGTAGCTAGAGTTTTCCTGCCTGGCCCACAGTCAGGACAAATCTCTCTCACCTGCCAGTCCCACAGCCGCTCAGACCCGACCAAGTAAACACAGAGACTTATATTGCTTACAAACTGTATGGCCGTGGCAGGCTTCTTGCTAACTGTTCTTATAGCTTAAATTAACCCATTTCTATTAATCTATACCTTGCCACATGGCTCGTGGCTTACTGGCATCTTCACATGCTGTTTGTCATCATGGCGGCTGGCAGTGTCTCTCTCCCCAGCTTCCTGTTCTCTCCCTTTTCCTCTCTGTTAGTCCCGCCTATACTTCCTGCCTGGCCACTGGCCAATCAGTGATTTATTTATTGACCAATCAACAACACATTTGACATACAGACCATCCCACAGCAGCCACCACTGCCTGGCTTGTTTGTTTTTTTGAGACAGGGTTTCTGTGTAGCTTTTGGAACTCACTTTGTAGACCAGGCTAACCTCGAATGCTGGGATTAAAGGCATGCACCACCACGGCACGGCCTGTTTTGTTTGTTTGTTTTTACTTTACCTGTATGTATGTGGACCAAGGTCTGGATGTGGAGGTCAGGGGATAAGTCAAGGGAGTTGGTTCTCGCCTTCCACTATGTGGGTCCCAGGGAGATAAAACTTAGGTTACCAGCATTGATGGCTAGTGCCTTTTACAAACACTGAGCCATCTCAACCAGCCCACCAGTTTGGTTTTTTGTTTGTTTTGAATGTCTGTTTCATGTTTTTTAAAATGTATTTCAAAAAATCTTACATAGTCCCCTGAGGGAGCATCGATTGTTGGAGTTACTTATAGGAACTCTGGCTTTCAGGAAGGTAGTTTTGGAGTTTCCCCAGAGTGTACTGTCTTGTGTGCAAGAGCTGATCACTTTGGCAAGAAGCCGCTGCAGTCATCTCCCACCCTACATCAGATAACAGTGGGTTGTTTTCTTATTTGATACACTGGACTTGCTACACAACAAAGCTAGAAAGATTCAGCCTTTGTCCTGTGACCTTGCTTCTAACATTCCACAGAGTAAGAAGGGTCTCAGCTCTCACCAGTTAGTTCCTTGCAAAACAAACTGAAGGTCAGAAGCTTGGGCTATAAAGAGGAGCTCTGTGCTCAAATCAGTTTTTCTAGCATTCGTCAGGAAGCAAAATTGCTTTTGTTCCTGAGCAGGACAGGTTAGAGCCAGAGAACGTGGATAATTGAACTTGCCTATCGATATGTATGCTGCCACTCTGGTAGGTCTGCTTTTTGGAAGCAGAGCTATTTTCTCTGATCTAAAAGACCTGGAGATGATGTGGTTTCTGTGTTTTCTTCCAGGTCCAAGGTTGGCATCGAAAAGCTACCTCCTGCGGCTTCTTATTAGTCCCGGTTTTGGAGGGTCCTTTTGCACTGCCCAGTTACCTGTATGGCGATCCTCTGCGGGCCCAGCTCTTCATCCCACTCAACCTCAGCTGCCTGCTCAAGGACGGCAGCGAGCACCTGTTCGACAGTAAGAGCTGCTCCCTCCTAAGGGTCTGTCTCAGCGAGTCAGACGCCGTTCCTAGACCAGCCCCGTGCTCTCTCATAAGTAGACTCTGGGTGGAAGATGAAGCCGTCAGTAAAACAGAAAGCAGGAGGAGGCTGACCATTCAGAGAGAGAAAAGGGGCAAGTGGGAAGTGGGATGGAGAAGGGAATGAGGACACTTGTATGAAATGTCATAATGGAACCCATCGCTGTCCAGTGAACATATGCCTGAAAAACCAAACCACTGCAACTCCAGGCTAGTTAGGAGAGCCGTTCTACAAGGAGCAAAGTAATCTGGGTTTTTGCCCTGGATTTTTTTTTTTTTAAATTTTTAAATTTTATTTTATTTCATGTGTGTGAATGTTTTGCCTGTGTTTATGTCTGTGCCCCGCATGTGCCCACAGAGGCCAGAAGAGGGAGTCGAATCTCCTAGAACTGGAGTTCTGGATAGTTGTGAGCCACCCCAAGGGTTCTGGGAACCAAACTTAAGTCTTGTGCAAGAGCAGCCGAGACTCTTAACCACTGAGCTGTCTCTCCAGCCTCTGTGCAGGATATTTGATCAGTGACTGGATCATCTGGGACAAGTCACTTAGTGCTCCTGAGCTTTGAGTTCTCCTTGGGTGGGATGGCTAGAGCCGATTTGCCAGCTCTGGAAGGCCAGAGTGAAGCAAGCAATGGGAGCGGGCTTCGTGCAGTGTCCGTGTCTACACCATGTTCTGCCATATCCTGTGTGCTCTCAGCCACCCAATCACCTGCGATGGTTGTGTGAATTTGAGGAGAGCCTTTTGCATGATGGTCCATGCAAAAAGGCCCCACAGAGGCCATCAAAAGCAAATCAGAGCTGGGCGGTGGTGGTGGTGGCGCACGCCTTTAATCCCAGCACTCGGGAGGCAGAAGCACGCGGATCTCTGTGAGTTCGAGGCCAGCCTGGACTACAGAGTGAGTTCCAGGAAAGGCGCAAAGCCACACAGAGAAACCCTGTCTCGAGGGAAAAAAAAAAAAAAAAAAAAACAGAAAGTATTGTCCTGCTGTGCAAAGCTGGGGTAAGCTTTGTAAGTCCCAGGCTCCCTGAGTGTTCTCCAGTGCTGCATCTTGAAGACCCTTCCTTCTGTCAGAAAGGGAACACAGGGGACCACCCTGACATGCCCTTTACCCACTCGGATGTTAAGCTCTATCCCTATCCACACCTCCCATTGCTATCACAGAGCACTCACTGCAGATGAACGGATAAATAGCTCCTAAAAAGCTTTCCATGAGTTCAAGATGACATTTTCAAAAGCAAAAGGCTGGAGTTGATGCTAATGTGTCAGGAGCTATTTGATAGAAAGATTATGAATGTGAAAGACACGGCTTTGGTGTAAGAGAAATGTTTTCTTCCCGCTCCCGTGTAAGTTTGTGTTACGCTCAATGGCAGAGGCTGAGGAGGGCTTGTCAGGTAGGGCAGGCTAAAAGTAGTGATCCTGTGGTTTTATGACAGGCTGCCATGCTAGTTCCAATAGTCTGTACTCTCCGCTTACAACGGAGAAGGCATTTTTGTACCCGAGCCCTGCAGAGTCCTGCATCAGAGGCCAAAGATTCTGAGCTGCACAGAGCACACGAAGTCCCTTTGCACACATACACATTCCTGTTTACCTCACAACATGGCCGAGGGAGGACCGTTTATGCAGTCCCGAAATGTGAATGATTATGCTCCTTCCCGAGTTTTAAGCCAACAGCTCACTGGAGTATTGTCAATATCTTTAGGGGTACAGTTACCTTAAAAGGTCTAGAGATGCTCTGCTCATTGTGAGAGGATTGCTTGCAGGGCTGGCATAGAGCTGATGGTTTCCCTGCCAGTTCTGACCTGCTCTTCTAAACCATCTTCAGTTGGTCGCCATGGTTACAGAGAAGTCCTAGTTTAAAGGAATAAGGACACAAATCTAAAATTCAATTTTCTAGATTCTGTGTCTCTTTTCTTCTTACCTCCACTTCTAACAGTGAGTCTGAATCTTAAAACTGGCACAGATGTGGTGTGTGTGTGTCTGTGTGTGTCTGTGTGTCTGTGTATATGGATATGTTTCTGTGTTTGTGTGTGTAGGTGTGGGTGTATCCGGGTGTGTGTGTGTGTGTCTGTATGTGGGTGGGTGTGGATGCCTGTGTGTGTCTGTAGTTGTGTGTGTCTATATGTCTCCAATTTATTTTAAAGAAAGTTCTAATTATGGACAGAGTAACAAAGCCACTGCATCCCTAGTCTTTGGGTTGTCTATCCTGTTGTTGGGACCCTCAAAACCTCCATCCAGAGAGCGTTCCAGCTCTGCTTCTTGTTGCTATGTGACAGCGTTCTTGACCTTCCCACCTCCCTTCTGCTGTTGGTCCTCAGCAGCTGCCTTGTGGAAGAGGGAGGCTGGAGCCATTCAGTCGGTGATGGAGGAGCAAATTCTGCTCTGTTCTCCTCCCTCTGCAGCTAATGACTTCTCAAGAATTCCTTTTTATTTCCTTGCTTCAATTTCCTTACCCCTAAAATGGAGCTTGTAATATTGTCTTTCTGTACAGGGAAATGGAAGATTAGTGATAATAGAAACATGGGTGGGTGTTGTTTTCAGAAGTAGCTAATGTACACTTCAGGTTTATGTTTTAATATACTTTCAAAACCAGGTCTAGTGGTGCTATGTGTAAGTAGAGGTAGGAGGATCGAGAGTTCAGAGTCATCTCTGGCTACCTAGAGTTTGAGACCAGCCTGGGCTATGTGAGACTCTGTCTCAGAAACAAGTAAAAATTAATGGACTCTTTTCAGTTTTAGTTTTGTTTGTTTGTTTGTTTTTTGAGAGAAGGGTTTTTTATGTTACAGCTCTAGCTGTCCTCGATCTCACTTTGTAGACCAGACTGGCCTTAAACTCACAGAGATCTACCTGCCTCTGCCTCCCGAGTGCTGGGATTAAAGACCTGTGCCACCACTGCCAAGCTTCTTTTCAGCTTTAGAATAAGACATTATATAAGCCTCGTTCTGATGCTCACACTAGCTCCTGAGGACTACACCTTTCTTGACTGTGGTGGAACTTGGGGAGGGATTATGGGATACACAGCTATCCTTCCTTCTAACTTTGGGTGGGAATTAAAAGTTCAGATACAAGAGACAAGAATTGTCAAGAGCAATGAGGAGAACAGTGTGAGTTTATTACAGACCTTGTGATCACAGCTCAGTATTTATTCCTTATTCCTTTCAGGCTTTGAACCAGAAACATACTGGGATCGAATGCACCTTTTCCAGGAAGCCATTGCACACAGGTTTGTCCATTAGCAAGAAGGAACAGTGACCAAATCAGTATCTTTTTTCCAATAGCAGTTACCAAAATGAAACCCAATTCATTCTGTTCCTGAGGAAAAGGATCTGTCCTTCTAGTGACAGACTCACTGCCTACCTCCACTCAGACTCAGAGATAAATGCTGTCCTGCCAGTCCTGTGGCTATTGCCTTACAGACCTCATTGCTTTGTTACTCTGTGAAGGGAGAGTGTAGAGCTTTGTAAGTAGCCTACAAGAGCCTAGTTCTGGAGGAGACAGGTGAAGTGAAACATTGTAAAATTTGTCAGTAAACCTTCCCCACATGTTAGAAAGACAATGGATTGTTTAAAAGCAATGAATGAGTAGATATTACTTGGCATTGGATCTGTGCACCAGGAGAAGTCTTTCCCGGGTTGTCTGATTAGCTGTCTCCTCTACCAGCGCAACAAACCACATTGTTTCCAAGCATCACTCAGCTGCTGTCCACTTGCTACTTCATGTTCCTCATGTGAAACAAAGGCCCTGTTGTTGTTTCAGTGACCCTCTGCTTGATGGCCTTTTTTGCTGTTGCTCATACATTTTTATCTGCTACCACCTGCACCCGAATATACCCCCAACACCCACCAGTTATTCACAAGGTCTCTGACCTCTCCCACCTTAGACCCTACCCTAAGATCTGGACCTTATGTATGTGCTCAGTAAAGGGTACAGTATGAATGAGGTGGTGACTCACTTCCTCCTACTCCGAAAGGGTGTAGATTTGAGCAGAGGGAAGGGAAGGAGGGACACAGTAGTCCCTGGAAAAGTCCTCACTGGAGGAAGTAGACAGGTCTGGTCCACCCCCACCTCCACTCACAGCCGTGGAACCATAGACGTCCCATGGCAAGTCTTAGAGCTTAGTCTTGCTTTTCTCACCCCTCTAGGGGTTTCTGGGCTCAGCTGGTAAATCTGCAAGAGACAGTAGTTTTAGGATGCCCCAGCTGACCACAGCTGGTAAGCAGCTCCTTGCCCAGTCACTACACTTCTTGACTAGGTGTCTCCTGGATATGACCTTTAGTTGCCAAATCTGCTTTTGTCTTCACAGTGTCCTGTTCTCCTAATCCTCCTCAACCCAGGACCTGGTCGTATTTTCTCTAACCGGCTGCCCTTTCCTCTTCAGCCTCTTTTCTAACCTCTGACTTCCTTACACGTCTTCAAAGCTGTCCCGTATGTGACCCTTTGCCTAAGCCCCGCCTCCTCTGCCTGGTCAGTGTCTCTCTCCACCAGGGACTCTCAGGTCCCTCTATTTTGAATTCCTCTCTCTCTTTCTCATTTTTTTTTCTCTAGTAGGGCTTTATTGTATAGTCTAGGCTGGCCTTGAACTCACAATCTCCTGTCTCTACCCCTGGACTGTTGAGATTACAGGCCGTACCAGTACAACAGGTTTAAATTCCCCTCTCCTTTTCTTTGTGAAAACTGTAGACTAGACTGCTTTGTAGGCCCTTGGGGGGCAGAAGTGTAATTTTCCCATGCTTGTTCCCATCCTAGTGCCAGCAGAATGCCTTTTCCTGAGTAGTTGTGCTGCCCATAGCTTCTGGTGCAGTGTGGACTGAGCCCAGAGCCTTGTGGGTGCGAGGCCAGCAGTCATCCACTAAGCCGCATCCCTGGTCCTCCTGTGCTTGTGCATGGAGTGGAATTCCAGGTGGAAATGTGGCTCTGAAATGACAGTCCACCCAAAGGTCTGTCTCTAAAACAGCTGGAAATGCCCTCATTCCCCCCCATTTTCCTTTGTGGGGACTCCGAGTTCTTCCTTCTACGTATTCTGGATAGTTGGGGTGAGATAGCACAGCATCTCTGGGGTGGATGCCCAGTGCCTTCACTGCACTCTCGGCTTGCCCCAAGTGGAAAATCATTGGTCTGAATTATAGATTTTCTGAGGATTTTTAGGGGGTTGAGGTTTGTTTGATTGAGTTTTTTATTGTTTATTCTAGGTTTTGAGAGGACAGGATCTCACTGTGTAGTCCTGGCTGGCCTGGAACTCATTTTGTAAACCACACTGGCCTTGAAATCTGCCTGTCTGTCTTCTAAGTGCTGGGGGTAAAGGCATGACCCACCATGCATGCCTGGCTAAATTGTGTATTTAAAATTAAATGTCTTGGAGATGGAGAAATGGCTCAGCAGCTGAGGGTGATTGCTGCTCCTTGTAGAGGACTCAGATTTGGTTTCCAGCACCCACACTGGGCCGCTCACAACTGCCTATGACTCCAGCTCCAGAGGATCCAACACCCTCTTCTGGCCTCCAAAGGCACTTGTACTCATGTGCACATACAGACAAGCAACCACACACACACAGATAATAACAATTTTTAAATTTAAAAAAAAAACTGTTTTAGGCTGAGTATGTGGATCGGTTGGTAGAATGCTTACCTAGTGTGCACCAATCACCACGTGAAACTAGGCACAGTGGTGCACAACTGTAATCTAGCACTCAAGAGGTAGCGACAGGAAGATCAGTGGTGGAAAGTTATCCTCAGCTAAATTATGATTTTGAGGCCAGCCTGAGATACCTGAGACCTTGTCTCAAAAGTAAATACTATAGAATAGCCGGGCAGTGGTGGCACACGCCTTTAATCCCAGCACTCGGGAGGCAGAGCCAGGCGGATCTCTGTGAGTTCGAGGCCAGCCTGGGCTACCAAGTGAGTTCCAGGAAAGGCGCAAAGCTACACAGAGAAACCCTGTCTCGAAAAACCAAAAAAAAAAAAAAAAAGTAAATACTATAGAATAAAAGGGGTCTTTACTGGTGTCCTAAGGAAGAAATGAGGCAAGAAGCCTCTGGTCCAGATGATCATGCTAAGGAAAGCAGTTGGCTTGGTTGGAAAGTAAGGAGGAAATCCAGAAGTGTCCTGCGGACACTGTCCCTTGAGTTTGCATACTTGGTGTGTATGTAGGGGATACTGGCATAGAGCTGGCAGCTTGGAGGATCCAGCACAGCACTTCCCCAGCGAGCTCGGTCCAGGAAAGAAGACACATTTTACCTCCTACCTCACTGCCTTCATTACATAAACCCCTCAGACACAGAGGGCAGAATCTGGGCACATCTGTTAGCACGTCCTTTACAGCTCTTAGCAGGTGGGGCTAGAATAAATGTGCTTTATGGAAATAGAAAAACCAGGAATAGAACAAGCTATAGATAAGAAGTGGAACAGGGCAAGTCACAGATGAGAAATGGCGTCTGCTCATTTCCCATTTCTAGAGCACAGCAAGGCAAAGAGCCTTGGATTGCTGACCCTCACCTCTAAGGAAAGAGTTTTAATTAAGGTGCTTCATTTCAGTGAAGGCCTTTATTGAGAACCTTCTTAATGCTTAGCATGACAGCAGTGGAGACAGATGTCGCTAAGGAAACAGAGGACAAGGGGCAGATGGCAGGACAGGAAAGTGAAGGTGTAGAGTGGGGGTGCATGCAGGGAGGGGATGTGGAGAAGGAAGGTGCTCAGCGGGGTGGAGCCTGGGTAGAGTGCTGCAGTCATCATGCAGTAGCATAGTGGACGTGAGCAGGAGAGCCTCGGAGCCTCACAGTTGGGAGGCAGGTGTTGAGAAGCGCCAAGGAAAAAAATAAGTAGCCCGCATGTGTAGCTAGAGTTTTCCTGCCTGGCCCACAGTCAGGACAAATCTCTCTCACCCGCCAGCCCCACAGCCGCTCAGACCCGACCAAGTAAACACAGAGACTTATATTGGTTACAAACTGTATGGCCGTGGCAGGCGTCTTGATAACTGTTCTTACAGCTTAAATTAATCCATTTCCATTAATCTATACCTTGCCACGTGGCTCGTGGCTTACCGGCATCTTCACATGCTGTTTCTCATCGTGGTGGCTGGCAGTGTCTCTCTGACTCAGCCTTCCACTTCCCAGCTTTATTCTCCTCCTTGTCCCGCCTACACTTCCTGCCTAGCCAATGGCCAATCAGTGTTTTATTTATTGACCAATCAGCAACACATTTGCCATACAGAACATCCCACAGCACACATGTTCCACACAGGAGGCCTTTCCATATCCCAGCCTCTTGGGCTGTCAGAATCTTAGCTACACACTGCCCCGTTTCTCTAGCTAATGAGACCATGTGCGTGTGTTTCTGTCGTTACTATAGGTTTGGATTTGTACAAGATAAGTATTCTGCCTCTGCTTTTAACTTCCCTGCTGAGAACAAGCCACAGTATATCCATGTTACAGGTGAGGAACTGCGGGCAAAAGTTGGTGGGTGCCCGAGCAGCTGCCACAGTCACGTGAACCCTGCCTGAGCCCTGCCCGCGCCTGCCGTGGCAGGACCACCGGAGCCAACTGCGGGTGCTCACCAGTGGTGCTCACTCAGGCCTGCTCTCTCCCTTCAGGAACAGTGTTTCTTCAGCTGCCTTACTCCAAACGCAAGTTTTCTGGGCAGCAGCGCCGGCGGCGGAACTCCACCAGCTCCACCAACCAGAACATGTTCTGTGAGGAGCGAGTTGGCTACAACTGGGCCTATAACACCATGCTGACCAAGACATGGCGCTCTAGTGCTACAGGGGACGAGAAGTTTGCTGATCGGCTGCTGAAGGACTTCACAGACTTCTGCATCAACCGTGACAACCGACTGGTCATGTTCTGGACAAATTGCCTGGAGAAGATGCATGCCAGTGCCCCATGAAGCCAGGCCGCTTGGCTTACGAGGTTGTGGGCATTCTGGGGCTGGCCTTCCAGTTAGGCTCTGGGCATCAGGCTGCTGCCGTCAGTGAGTGGGGCCACTGCTGCTTTTGGCCTTTGTACAAGTTTGAGCGAGGAGAAAGACTGGAAGCAGCTGCTGCCGCTACCACCACCCAGAGCTTGCCATCCTGTGCCCATGGCAGGGGGAGGCACAGATTGTCTGTGGGAGGGAGTCAGTGTCTGGGAATAGGGTAGGCAGCTTCCATTAGGGTCCTTTTCTTTCACCAGCAGTGGGATATTCAGAACAGAACCTCCCGATTCCTGCCCAGGAATATGCGTGTATAGCATAATTCTGTGACATAATGTACTATTGGCTCACACCAGGTGTACATATGTGTACATAACAGAAGTAAATAAAGTCCCCCATACAGTGTCTGTTCCCAGCCTTGTTTCTAGTAGCAGTCTCACCCTGGCTGGACAGCCAGGCCAGTGAGGTCACCTCAGGTGGCAAGAGGGCTTCAGAACACACTGGTCTCGAGTCTGGCTGTGAGTCGACTTGATAGGTTTCTTTTCAGAAGCCCTTGGGCAGGAGCGAGTATCCTTCTGGACAGGACTGGTGAGCAGGCAGTAAGTATAATAAAGCTCTAGGCTGGTGCTGTCAGAAACATGCCTTGCTAAGTGGTTGCACTGGCAGCCCTCATGGTGTCCCTGACATGTAGAGGAGAGCTGCTGCCTTTAGCCTCAGGGAGGGCAAAGACTGCAGAGCAAGGGGAGGATCTGGTAGCCATGGCTGCTACTTCTTCCTCATTAATCACACACCCTGTTGACTTACCTTCTTATCAGCTTTCGAACCCTTCACCTCTCCTGGGCCCTGTGCTACAACTTCAGGTCCAGCCCTCCTTGTCTTTCTTACTTACATCCCTAGGAAACCTAACTTGTCTTGGTCCATCCTACTGTTCTCTACCGAGAAGCTGGGTGGGGTTTTGTTATTTGTTTTTTAAAACTACTCCAAGCAGATATTTCAGAGACTGAGGCAGAAGGATCATGGAGTTCCAGGCCAAGTTGGCCTCTGCAGTGTGTGCTGAGCAAAGCTGAGCTGTGTAGTGAGACTGTCTCAAAAGTCAAATGGGGCTGAAAAGATGGTTCAGTTAAGAGCACTTAACTGGTCTTACAAAGGACCTGAGTTCTGTGCCCAGCAGCCATGTGGCCACTCATAACCATCTATAGTTTGAATTCCAGGGGATCCCACATCCTCTTCTGACCTCTTTTGGCACCAGGTACACATGGGTACACACAGGCACCTGGAGGCACTCAAGTGACCAGGCCCTGCCCCTCAGGACCTCCAGCTGCCAGGTTCCACCCACAGAATACTAATTGCCCTAACGGCTGGACCCAGCCCCCGCCCTGCAGAGTAAAAAGCCCAGGACTTGAAATCCCACCAATTCCCCACCCTGAAAATCTCCCACCCACAGAACACTAATTGCCCTAACGGCTGGACCCAGCCCCTACCCTGCAGAGTAAAAAGCCCAGGACTTGAAATCCCACCAATCCCCACTCTGAAAATCTCCACCCCGGAAAGCTCCCCATCCCAACCCCCCAAGAAACCCTATATAAACCCTGCCTTCTGCTCAGTTCTCTGCTGCTTCTCACCCCAGCAGAGGTAGCCACCCTCTTGGGTTCTTTCCTCCCAATAAATCTCCTGTGAGGTTTGATGTGCTGTGTGACTTTGTAGAATTCCTTAGTTCTTTTTTTTTTTTTTTTTTTTTTTTTGGTTTTTCAAGACAGGGTTTCTCTGTGTAGCTTTGCGCCTTTCCTGGAACTCACTTGGTAGCCCAGGCTGGCCTCGAACTCACAGAGATCCGCCTGGCTCTGCCTCCCGAGTGCTGGGATTAAAGGCGTGCGCCACCACCGCCCGGCTCGAATTCCTTAGTTCTTAACTGCCAGGATACCTTTCCCCTCAGCTGTAACATTTACACACGTATGTACATACAAGCAAACACTCATACACATCGAACAAAAATAAATAAGTCTTAAAAACAAACAGGAAATTCCACTCCAATTGTACTTGCCACTTAGAATTCTGTTGATGTCCTGGACTCCAGAAACCTTAGGTGTGGTGTTGGAGATGTAGCTCAGAGAGCTGACGTAGTAAGCACCAGGCTCTAGGTTCATAGCACCACAAAATCAAAACATTGTCTTGCCCGGTGGGTTGTTTGCACAGCTACCTTGGTGGTGGTACAGTCCCTGGAACCAGGCTCTTAACCAACTCAAGTCTTCTGCACAACGCTCTTCCAAACTGCCTCGTTCGGAACCTCTAATCACAGCTATTAATCTTACATGCACAGCTTTTGTTTTTTAAGATTCATTTTTTGTGTATGAGTGTTTTGCCTGTGTGTGTGTGCATGTGTGTGTGTGTGTGCGCGCACGCGCGCACGCACATCATCATGTATGCTTGGTGCCCCGGTCAAAAGAGCATCAGATTCCCTGGAACTAGAGTTCAGATGGTCATGAGCTGCCACATGGGTGCTGGGCACTGAACCTGGGTCCTCTGGAGGAGCAACAAGTGCTCTTAATGGCTGAGCCGCTTCTCCAGCTCCTGCATGTGAAGCTTTGAAAGACTAGGCTATTATGTGAAAGTGTAGTGATTGATCCCTGTCATGGAGCAAGCCTAAAAAAACGTACTCACCACCACCACCACTTTTTCAGTCTTCCTGTCTGTGGGAGCTGTCCTAGAGTAGTTGGAGGAGTGAGGCAGGTATAGCTGGACTTTGTGGAGTGTACCTGTAATCCCAGCACTTGATAGACCGAGGGAGAGGAGGAAGATTGTTAGGAGTTTGAGGCCACTCCAGGATACATAGTAAAACACAGTCTCTCTCTCTCTCTCTCTCTCTCTCTCTCTCTCTCTCTCTCTCTCTCTCTCTCACACACACACACACACACACACACACACACACACACACACACACACGAGCAAAAAAAGGCAGCTTTATGTGAGAGAACTTACTGAAAACATAGTACATCTCTCAGGTTCTCACGTTTCCTAGCTGGGCATCTTTACTGAGTTCCATGCCAGCCTCCTCAGTGTCAGTGCTGGTCACGGCAGCTGTCGGCCTGGTCAGACTGTGTGATCTCGTGTGGTCCTGTTATCCATCATGTGAAATCACCACTTACCCCTCGCACACATGCAGTTTTTGTAATATTCCAAAGATGACTCGGAAGCCCCCAAGGATGAGGTGGCAGAAGCGCAACTGATGAATTAGAACACTGGGTCACTTGCCTGTCAGCTGGTCCTGAGACACTCCTGCCTTTGAACCTCAGCTCCTGCAGCCTCCAACTTTCCAGATTCGAATGCAGTATTCTCCTCCATCAGCGCCTAGTGAGCCAGCCAGTCTCCCTGAGATCTGGCTGCCTCCCTCCATCGCTGGTGCCCAACTGCAGAGCTTTGCCTCAGTGACGGTCTGGAATGTGTCCCCACTAAAATTTCATGTATTTGAAACTTAACCCCAAGCCAGGTGTGGTGGCACACGACTTTTCGTTGTTGTTTTTTGTTTTTCCGGACAGAGTTTCTCTGTGTTACAGCTCTGGCTGTCCTGGAATTCACTTTGTAGATCAGGCTGCCTCTAACTCACAGAGATCCACCTGGCTCTGCCTCCCAAGTGCTGGGGTCAAAGACGTGTGCCACCTTGCCCAGCTGGCACATGACTTTTAATCCCAGCATAGAGACAGGTAGATCTCTGTGAGTTCAAGGCCTGCCTGGTCTACAGAGTGAGTTCCAGGACAGTAGAAGAGCACATACCAAAAGTGTGTACATCCCTGGATTCCATCCCCAGCTCTGATATATTTGAAAATAAACTCGGCATTAAAAGGAATAAGGGGCCAGCAAGACAGCTCAGTAGCTAAAGATGCTTGCCTTTGAATATAACGATTTAAGTTCAGTTCCCCAGACCCATATGGTTGAAGGAAAGAACCAGCCCCAGAAAGTTCCCTGACCTCCACACACACATTGTGGTACTCATGTATCTACATATATACATACATGTGCAAATAAATTTAATTAAAATTTTTAAAATAACCCCTGTGCAAGGATGATGTGCAAATTCATGAAGCATTCTATATTAAAAATTTTTGAAATAAAATACATTGAAATCTATGAGGGTTTGCTAAAGTGGATAGAAAATAGCAGGAGAGAAGCTGCTGGTTTCAGCCTGCATGTGCTTCAGGCAGCTCTTTGCCCAGGAGTGCTCTCCAAGTGTGGCTTTTGCTTGTTGAAGAGTATGTACCAAGAGCCAGGTCCTACAGCCTTCACATTTGCCCTCCATCTACTAATCTGGTGGCGGCTAATCATCTGTTACCAGTGAATCGGCTCACATTTCTTCCAAGAAGAAAATCTCAACCCGTGAGAGCAGGACATGGGGAGGGTCTGTGTGATTCCTTGCAAACTCTTTTTCCTCTGAGCTCTGGAATTCTCCTGGGACCTCACCTGGCTGTGAATCTGGAGAAATCTCAGGACCATGAGACTGCAGACCTCTCCTTTCTGACTAGGCTGTCTGTAGAGTTAACCCTTTGGCTCCCCAGGAACCTGAAGCGGTTGCCACTGGAACCTGGACTCAGCACAGTGCTTCCTGAATTATACCAAATTGCTGACCCAAACTCAGTTCCTCCCTTCCAATATTCCTCAAATGTCTTCAATGAGACAAAACAATTTATTTTTAAATCCATGGCATCCTGAGAGAAAAATTTCCTAACACCGTTTGATGCCTGTCCAACCCTACTGGTTCTTGGTCTACACCCTTTCCCTCCCTGCAGTCTAGAATTGGATAGTGGGGTGGATGCTGTCTTGAAAAACAGTCTCTTTTCAAGACAAAATGTCCTGTCCCAATCTGTGTCCTCGGTCCCCAAGGACAGAGTAACAAAGTGGCAAAGGTCCAGATAGACAGGAGCAAGCTGGGCACAGTTGAATGAGGCTATAATCCCAGCTACTGAGATTGAAGCAGGAGGATGACTTTGAGCCCAAAATTCAAGGCCAGCCTGGGCTACATCCTGGGGGTCTTGTCAGAGAGGAGAGTGGGTTTGGGGGAGAGAGGAGGAGGAAGAGGAGGAGGAGGAGGAGGAGGAGGAGGAAGAACCAAGGGTCTTGATCTGATTTGAAAAAAGAAACAGAAAAAAGAAAAGGTCCACACAGGTGGGCCTTCCCCCACAGAAGAAGAGAACCCGCTACTTGCCTCTGGATGTGAAGACCTGAGTGCTCCCTTGATGGCAGCCCTAACCCCACCCCTCCTATAGTGACACGCTTGCCAGCTTGCAAGGCCAGGGTGACTGAGCCCATCCAAGCCACAAAGCAAGTTGCAGGCAGGGCCAGTGTAGACTCCTGCTGGTGTTCATTGCTCACATGCTTTTCTTGCAAGTTCTTTGTGTTTTTCTTGCATATTCCTGGTCTCTCCAGAGCTACTGGAAGGCAAAGAACACACCTTGTTCATCCTTGTATCCTCCACTGGAAGGACTTCATGAATTAGGAGCTTTCACGGTTGGCCGGACTCACACTGGGAAGGAGTACAGAGACCCAGCAGCCACTGTGGAGGAGTCTGTCTGCTCTGGGTAAAGTGCCACAGGAACACGGGAGGAAAGGAGAAAACGGGCATTTGGGCGATATAAGAATTTTCAAAAAGAACCTCTTTTAGTAGGAAAAGGGAAAGGCAAAGGGAAGCGGGATAGAATGTTCTGATACCAGATTGGTGAACTAAAAAACTGAAATCGGGCTGGAGAGATGGCTCAGCGGTTAAGAACACTGACTGTTCTTCCAGAGGTCCTGAGTTCAATTCCCAGCAACCACATGGTGGCTCACAACCATCTGTAATGAGATCTGGTGCCCTCTTCTGGCCTGCAGGTATACATGCAGACAGAATACTGTATACATAATAAATAAATAAATCTTTAAAAAAAAAACTGAAATCAGAGAAAAGGTTTGTGGGGGTTCCTAGGCTGCCCTGCCCAGCCTGCACTTTCAATGATTGATTTCGTGGGGGGGGGAGGGGCAGTAGTTTTCAGGTGCCAGGCTACAACCTGGAATGACAAGTGGCCCATTGTCTGGGAACCCTGAGCCAATCTGTCTCTGGGGTTACACCAGGTGGGGCTTCACTCCTTCTCTCTCAGGCTTTGCTGTTCCTAGCCTCAGATGGGATCCCGATTGGACGATCTCAGCCACGGACCATCAGGGGAATTGCCTTCTTTCCTGAGCCTTCCCCATTTCTCCTCAGCAGCCAGAATCCCTGCTCCCAGGTTCAGTGTTCTGCTTCCTCACGGTGTGATCCTGTGTTGGTCCCCCTCCCCCACTCCATCCATCTGATCTGCCTCTGTTTCCATGGTGACAAAATGGGAATAATCAAATCTTCACAGTATCACTCAGGGATAACTGGTGAGAGAACCTGGGAGACAAGAGCCATGAGAAATGAACCTCTGCACAGGCTGTTTTTGTTGCTTTTTTCTATAATCCTTCTATAGCCTAGGATTGCCTCAAACCCATAATCCTCTTGCCTCTGTCTCTAGAGTGCTGAAATTCTAGATGTGTGGCACCACACCCTGCTCACATCACTGCTGTTCTCCCTAATGTTCCTGCCAGCTGCCTGTGCGATCCTGGGCAGTCTGTTCACCGGGGGATAGGTCAAATCTGGAGCGGGGTCCTGTGTCTCAGGCCTCCTTCAAAGAGGCCATGGAGGCCAGAGTGAGGATCCTTGAAGTTAGCCTTGTATAGTTGTCTGGGTGGTGCAGAGTGCTCAGGGAATATTATTTTTTATAGGGTTGATATTCAAACCCGGGACCTCACACATGTTAAGCAAATACCCTACCACTGAGTTGCACCCCTGCCTAAGCCCAGAAATTTAAATTTTAAGGAGGTGCTGTGCATATGCCCTGCATGGAAGCCAAATGTTCCATTTTTAATGTGCCTGGCAAGGTCACAAAGAACCTCAAATGCCACCAACCAGCCTGAAGCTTGGGAAAGGACAGAAGAAAAAGAATACAGAAGAAAGAAGAGCAAGAGCTGCCTGGGTATTGAACCCCAGAGAAGTGGAGGTCTGAGTCCTGCTAGAGCCAGAGGACAGCACTGTGGGAGGCAGCAGGGTGATACGAGCCTCACCTCTCAGGGGAAACTGAGTCTCCAGCAATGAAAGGAATTTTCTGGGGCAACTGAGCGCTCACACGCGCGCACACACACACACACACACACACACACACACACACACACACACACACACACACACGGCAGAAAAGAGCAGTCTTCAGCCCCAGGATTCCCCTCACTAGGAAGAGGGAGAGCCAGGCTTCGGAGAAGCAGCAGCCCTGGGGAAGTGGTCACGGCCAGCAGCCTCCTGGGGAGGAGGGAAGGGCAGAGCTCGGGGCCTGGGCCTTTTGCCCTGTGGTCAGAGCCATGTCTCCAGTCCTTCCTATTCTTGGGTACCACACAGACTGTTGTGGGTGGTTGGCACTGAGAGGACGGGGGACCCCTGCGTGGCTTGACGTGCAGGATATGTCTCACCTCAAAGCAGAAGTGAAATAGGGAACCATTCTTAGGAGACAAGAGGCAAGTCTGTTCACCTCCTCAATATCTGCCTTCTGCAGGAACCTGGAGGGTGGTTGCCACCACTGGGAGCCAGCCTGGTTTTGGGGGACCATAGCTGCTGGAGGCTGGGTATGTGCATCCTCCAAACGTATCTTGGGATCTCTCTGAGTCCGAATCCTTTTGAAGCACCCCAGTAACTGACTTTTTTAAATCAGTTTTTATGATTTAGACTCTGAGAGAAATGGCTCTTACTACAAGCCCCTGTCTCCTAGCGGATTCAAAGCCAACCTCTCTCTGCAGGGAGAGATCTGTATATCGTTTCTTGGCTCACTCACTGTCCACACACTTGATGGCCATCCTCTCATTAATACATGCATCCCAACGGCCTTCTGTAGCACACACAGAGAGGGATCCATGTGCCATAGTTCTTGATTGCTAGCGTGACTGACAGAGGAGCCGTCACAGTGTCTAGTCACTGACATCTTCAATTGATAGAGGAAGGTAGCTTCATATTCCCTGCAGCCGCTTCCAGGGGGCCCCACCCTTAGCTTTCAGATGGAAGGATAAGATGGTGAGAGAGCACTGTGAGTCAGAAGAGGACCTGGGACAAGACTCTGCAGGCAGCTTGGGCCACTGATGCCACCGAACCCTGTGGGTATGTGTTCTGTCCTGCAGGAATCCTGCTGTGACTGTGCACAAGTTTTCCCCTGCTACAGGAGCCTCTCCTATAGGCTGTTTCTCTCCTGAGACCTTCACCAACCAGATCCAGGCAGCTTTGTGGGAGCCCTGTCTCCCAGTGGTGACTGATCCTAGGGCTGACCACTAGCCTCTTTGAGGGTATCTAATGTCACCCTGCCTCCCATTGCTCTCTACAACAGCAAGGAGACACAGCTCATCAGTGGCTCCCAGAAAAGCACCATTTGTAAAACATCTCAGGGAGGCGATGTCTGACCTCTAGTTTACAGAGAAACCGAAGGGACTGGAAGGGAAGAACAGCCCCGTACTGAAAAGGGAGTAAGAAAGGCTTTCAGGGCCTCTCCTGGACCACTGCTCGACAGGACTCTACTGGCTCCTTAGTTCATTGCTGCTCAGTCCGAGCAGTTAAGGGTCTGCAGGTGAGCAGGCATTCTCTGTGCTGACCCAGGAGTTCCCTGCTGAAGGCTGGGACATTCACCCAGCTACTGAAACTGTGGTTCCCACAGAAAGGCCACTGCATGGATAGGAGCAACCATTTGGCAATCGTAAGGTTTTCTTTTGCACACACAGGCAAAACAGGAAGATTGGTTAAAAAAAAAAAAACCACCATTTTCTTTCTTTTTTCATCTTTTTGTTTTGTTTTTCCAAACAGGGTTTCTCTGTGAAACAGTCCTGGCTGTCCTGGAACTTTCTCTGTAGACCAGGCTGGCCTCGAACTCACAGAGATCCACCTGCTGCTGCCTCCTGAGTGCTGGGATCAAAGGCATGTGCCACCACCGCCTGGCATAACCACCATTTTCTAATGTGTGTATATGTGTCTATGTACACAAAACCCATCTGTGCACAGCGTTGTGTAGATACACGAGCAAGAAGAACACTAGACACAACGAAATACACAGTAACTATTGTTGTACTTGTCAAGTATAGTTGGGGAAAGTGTCCCAAAGACCAGAGAGACTGTGAGGTTGGATAGGACCTCAAGCTATGCTGGGGCTGAGGGGTGACTTCTGGACATTTTCCTGGGAACCTGGTGGCTGGCAGAGCTGGCCAAGAGCAGAGAGGGTGATGGCAGAGAAGTTCTGGTTGTGAAGACTCTTGAGACCCTGGGGTGGAAAGAGGCTTCGTGGGTCCAAATGAGAGGAAGGGGTGAGGGCTGGAGGAGGTGAGACCCCATCACCCAGGATCATCAGGGGCACACAGCTGTTCATCTTCAAGAGAAGGAAGCCGGGTGGACTCGAGCAAGCCTCCTCTGGCCTCTGTTTTGTCTTCTTTTCAGTAGGAATGTGTCCCCCTCCTTGCTGGGGACCTACTGAGAACCTGTGTTGGGTAAAGACAGAGGGGGAGTACCTAGCCTGGGACTGCCGTGTTAAAAGGGACCTAACAGCAGAACCTTTAATTTGATGGTGGGCAGGGGTCCAGGCTGACAGCTTAGCAGCCTCCTGCCTTTCTCCCGAGGTAGATTCTAGAAGACACAGAGACAAGGGCTACCTTGGTCCAGCTTGCTGTGCAGAAGCATTTCTCTGCTGTCATATCACTGCCCCAACCAAGTCAGTGCAGCCTGGAAAAGGGCTCAAGACTATAGCCATGGTCCACCTTAGAAGGTGACAGGTGGACCTTTGCTCTTCTCTCAGGACACCCCTTCCTTTACCATGCCCCAGGCTTTAATTCATGACCTAGTCAGTCTGTGCTGACTCCTCACTCAGGGGCAGCCATGTGCTGTGCAGATGGCACAGTCCCGGAGCCCTGAGGTCTGACCAGCAGCAAGACCATGTTTCTCTGTAAGGGTAGAGCCACCTTGGCCTTCCTCTCCTGACTCAGGGAAGCTATCCCCATAAAGCAAAGAGCTCACATGCCTGAATCACAGGCACTCCTGGAGAGGGGCTCTGCAGGACACTGCTTGCTGGCTTATTTAACTCTGTTAGCAATCCCTCACAGTGTGTGTGGACCTGTGCGTGTGCGCGCGCGCGCGTGTGTGTGTGTGTGTGTGTGTGTGTGTGTGTGTGTGTGTGTGTGTGTGTAGTGGTGGTGATGTTTGGTTGTTTGATTGTTTTGTCATACTCTGAGACAACATCTTTCTCTAGCTAAGAATAACCTCTACCTTACAGTCCTCCTGGCTCAGCCTCCCAGTGCAGGATTACAGGCGTGCAACACTATACCTGGGTCACAGTGGGTATTACCAGCTGCCCTCTACAGGTAAGTAACCAAGAATTATGGGCACCTTACCAGCAAGGGTTAAGGGTTTGGATTCTAGTCCAGGCCCCCATGACCTTGCCCACACAGCCCTTTACCTTGGAAGGAGGGCTTTGGGGCTGTGTTGTGTTGTATTTGGGGTTTCACTTGTTGGCAGTGGCCCTGGCGTTTGGTCTCTTCCTCTGGCAAGTGACTGTGGGGTTGGCTGTCAGTCCTCAGAAACATCGCAGAATGACCTCGCTGGCCGTTGTTTTGTCTGTAGAGGGAAAACTTGGGGTCCTGAGTGGGGAAGGCAGCTTGTCTGGGGTTGGGGTTGGTCAGTGGAGCTGAGCCAGGTCTTCCTCCTCCTCCTTTCTCACGCCCTGACTCTGCTCTGCATCTGCACAGTTGGCACACTGCAGGACCCAAACTTCCATCCCCTGGGAACCATGGATGCCTTTCCACCTACCTCCTGGGCTCCGTTGCTTCCCTGGCTCTTCACTAGAGATCTTGGGGGGATGGCAAGCTCGGTATGTGTTACAGCACAACTCTTGATTTAGCTGTGCACCCCGCCCCCAGCTCCCCTGAAGCCTGCTCCTCCCACAGTCTTCCCCGATTTAGTATCCGTACCATCATCTACCCAGTTATTCAGGCAGAAAGCTTTGGAATTATCCTACATTTCCCTTCCCTTCAACCCCCTCATCTGATCCATCAGCAAAAACATATTGTAATCGACCTCTCTTCAGCATCCTTACCTTCATCCACGCAACCCAACCAAACTGGTCCTTCCACATTGCTGGATGCAAAGGCATGCACCTGGAATCCCAGCATTCCTACAGCGAGATGATAGGAGATGAAGGCTGGAGAACCACCTGGAAGCTTGTCAGCTGTTGATCTAGATTACACAGTGCAGCAGAAACTACAAGAGATCTTATCTTCCCTCAACAAGGCAGAAGGCGAACGCCAATTCCTAATAGTGGTCCTGAGACCTCCACATGCATGCCAGGACTGACTTTCTCTCACACACAGACAACAAACAAATATTTTTGAAGAGAGCCTAAATTACAAGTTAAGTCTACCCTAGGCCAGTGTCTCTGAAAAGACAGACTTGTCCTGTCCTGTAAATTCCTTATGGGGGCACTCTCTTGGACTGGGACTGTAGCTTGGCAGTAGAGAGCACTGGCCTCCCTTGTGTGAGGACCTGCACTCCATCTCTAACACCAGAGCCAAGAACAAACAAACAAAGCAGTGAGTGGGACTCTTCTCAGAACACGTGTCCTTTGTCTTCCGTTTGGGCAAGTTTAACTTCTTGGTGCTTCAGGTTTGTTGACTACACGTGGGGATAATAGCATCGCCCACCTCCTGGAGGAGACATGGAGGTCAAAGAGAAAATGAGGAGAATGCTTACCACAGTACACTGCGGGTGTGTGTGTGTGTGTGTGTGTGTGTGTGTGTGTGTGTGTGTGTGTAAGGTTAACTCTATTGTGATTATTGTTGTTTGTTGTTGTGAGGCAGCATCCTGCTGCGTAGCCCAGGCTGGCTTTTTGGGGGGACCACAGGCATGAGCCGTCACACCCAACTCTATTATCATCTTTAAATTGTTATTATCATGACCATCACCATCTGTTTTAACTTTCTTTTCAAACTTTTTTTTTAGACTTATTTATGCATATGAATGTTTTGCCTGCAGGTATGTCTGTGTACACTGGAGGTCAGAAGAGGTGCATCAGATCCTCTGGAACTAGAGTTACAGATGGTTGTGAGCCACCAGGTGGGTGCTGGGAATCAAATCCAGGTCCTCTATAAGTGTGGCAGCAAGTGCTCTTAATCACTGAGCCATCTCTCCAGCACTTGGTTTTTCTTAAAGAGGCAACTATTTTTTTCTCTCTCTGTCTTTCTGTAATAATAACATGTACATTTTACCATTTTTCATGGTCCAGACCCTAATCCACTTAACAAGAGGACCAAACTCTTTAAGTAGCAAGTAAACCTTGGTCTCCTCCTTAGCCTCAGAGTTCCCCGTGGTTCACCCCTCTGCAGTCACATTGCTCATTGAGGCTCTGTGTGATTCGGGCTGTGTCTCCCTAAACACCTGCCTGCCTGGAAGGTGCTTTTCCTTCTCTATCTACCTAACACCCAATCTTCCTTCCATCTCAACTTGATCATTATTGTCTCAACCTTCCAATCCAGTGACTAGGGAACTCACCTCTTTTTTTTTTTTTTTTTTTTTTTTTTTAAGATTTATTTATTTATTATGTATACAAAGTTCTGCCCACACACATCCCTGCAGGCCAGAAGAGGGCACCAGATCTCATTACAGATGGTTGTGAGCCACCATGTGGTTGCTGGGAATTGAACTCAGAACCTCTGGAAGAGCAGCCAGTGCTCTTAACCTCTGAGCCATCTCTCCAGCCCCTCCGAAACTCACCTCTTTTTATACTCTGAGAGTATACATTTCTACTCTTATTGCTGTAACAGAATACACGACAGAAACATCTTATGGAAGGAAGTGTTTCCTCGGCTCCTGGTTTGAGGGTGTAGTCTATCGTGGCAGGAAAGCCATGGCAGCAGAGGCTTGGAGCAGCTGATCACATTGCAGCCACAGTCAGGAAGCAGAGAGCAGGGAAGGCTGGTGCTCGGCTTGTTTTCTCTTGTCTATCTAGACTGAGATCCCAGCCCATGAAAGGAGCCTGCCCATATATAGCGTAGGCCTTCCTACCTCAATTAACCTAAATTAGATAATCCCTCATCCACATGCCCAGAGGCCTCTCTTGAAATGATTCTGAATTCTGTAACTTGGCAGTCCATAGTAACCACCACACTAGATGTGTTCTGTGCTCTGCTGTAGCACTTACCCAGGTTATACACTTCCCTCCATTTGAATTGACTGCCTCTGATGGACCTAACGCCATGAGAACAGAGGCCAAATCCTTCTTTCCCTATGCTGACACAAGGTATTTTGCACTATGCTAGATGGTAACTAATGAATGAATTCGTGAATGAGTCGAATGGTGAGGAAACTCAAAGACGAAGATCCTTCCAGGGAATAATTTATTGTCCTTGCAAAAGTAACTCACCTTTCTCATCGACATCAGGTCGTGAGGCTGGAAGAGCTAGCCTGACCTTCAGTAGGCTCCGCTTGCTGAAATTGGGTGCTCACAGGCATCCACGGCATTATAAAAGGACAGAAAGGCTTTGACCCATTGAGCAGAGCTCAAAGATGGACACGAAGCTTCAGTGTGATGAAGTCTGTCTGGCCTCCTGTCTGTGGGCCAGACACATTTGCTGTGCCTTCCTTCTTGAATCAGGGTGAGGAGGAACCCGCCCGACACTGGAGCTCTGTGCTCTGGTTTTTCTGGCTGATGACACATCCTTTACTGGGTTAGAGCAGAGGTTCTGCAGACCTGGGCCAGTCTCCGACAGAGTCCACACTGGGACACGGCGAAATGAGAACAACGGGGACAGCATGGGGACTTTTCACAAAGCTAAATTAATTCTGAGATTGTCTGTCCTACATTTTTCTGTGTCAGCCTGCCCTTTCTTTTATGAAACCAGGGTGACAGGAATTGATGATTTTGTGTCCTTGCTTGTCAAAATCACCTACTTAATTCTCTTTTGAAATTTGCTGGCTGTGGAAAGTGGCCGAGCTGGGATGAGAATACATATTTGCTAGTTTGCCAGATACCTAACTCCCTCTGCTCTACAGGCCCCGGGAGAGAATCCTACACAAGGGAGATGCGAGAACTGCTGTAAATTGTTGATGGACTGCCGTGAAGAAGAGAGACATGCTCTTGTTATAACCAGCGAGGCAGTCTCAGACAGGAACAGTTCAGCCGATATCAATCAGCTAAACGCGGTGGTTCCAATCCCTGCCCTGGTGAGGCTGAAGTAGGTGGATCTCTGAGTTCCAGGCCAGCCTGGTCTACAGAGTGAGATTTTTGTCTCAAAACAAACAGACAAACAAAACAAAACTTACAAAAAACAAATCAAGTGATTTATAGTGTTTGACAGGTGAGTGGTCAGTATTTGAATGGGCTATCCCGGGCTATCCTGGCTATCCTGGGCTATCCCTGGGCTACCAGTGCCTAGATACTACTCAGACATGTAGGGACTGATGAAGGATCTTGGCCGTGGCGTCAAACAGACCTGTATTTTAACACTAGTTTCACCACTTATTACATGTGTGATCTAGAGCAATTACATTTTCTGCTCCTTAAAATGGGAAGTAGGAAAGCCAGGCAGTGGTGGCACACACCTTTAATCCCAGCACTCGGGAGGCAGAGGCAGGCAGACCTCTTATGAGTTCAAGGCCAGCCTGGTCTACAGAGCGAGTTCCAGGACCACCAAGGCTACACAGAGAAACCATGTCTCAAACAAAAACAACAACAACAACAATAATAATAAAAATGGGAGGTAGAGACTAGAGAAATGGCTCAGAAATTAAGAGCAGTGGCTGCTCTTCCAGAGAACCTGGGTTTGATTCCCAGCCCCCACATGGCACCTCACAACTGTCTGTTACTCCAGTCCCAGGGATCTGAAGCCCTCTTCTGGGATCCTCAGGAACCAGGCATTCACACTGTGCACAGATATACATGCAGGCAAAATACCCACGCACATAAAAAAAAAAAAAAAAAAAAAAAAAAAAAACAACAAAAACTTATTTTTAAAAAGGAGACGAAAGGGAGACGTGGTACCAGGAGAACCTATCCTAGGCAAATTAATGTGGTCGTGGAGGCCAGGAAAACTCCTTAAGGAAGTGACTAACCATTGCAGTGAGGGCTGAAGGGTAAGGAGGGCTAGCTGGGGTAACAGGAGTCGTGGTGGAGAACATTCTAGGCAGAGAAGAAAGACGCACAAGGGCAGGATGAAGTTGGGGGACTAGAGGAGAAATGCATCCCAGACATGCGAAGGATTTTCACTTTTGTCCTCAGAAGTAAGCAGCAGACGGCATGATCAGATTTGCAATTTTAAGATTTTTCTATGGTGATGGGTGGTGGTAGTTGGAGGTGGGATGGGCAAGCATAAAAGGCCGAAGCCTGAGGGAAGTCAATGTGTTCAGGAAATACATAATGGAACCCTGGGCGAGTGAAGCAGTGGGGGAGAAGATGAGTGCACGGTCTTAAGGACCACTTAGGAGATGAAGTGGTCGTGACTGAGCAATGTATTCCAGGAAGGATGAGGGTGAGACAGTTGCTGAGGAATGATACCCAGATTTCCGGATAGAACTGTTGCCAGGCAACAGAGTGAAAACCAGAAGGGAGTGGGGGAAAGCCTGGGACATGATTTCCCCTGCAGTTGTGATTAAGTCCATGTTTGCAAAATGAAAGGTGTTAGGATGTGTGGCTCCCTGGTTGCTTGCTGAGGGAGAAAGGACACCCTACGAAGATTGCGTGATGCAAGTAAACAGGCCTAAGGCTTAGGTCATGACTTAGGTCATTCAGGTAAGCTGTGTGACCTTAAGAGGCAGCTTCACCACTCTGGGCATGAGCTCTGGAATGAATGGCCCACTTAACCTAGAAACTTAAAAGGCATGGACTCTCCAGCTTTGTTTGTGTCCACTGTCACTATTTATGGGACTGTTCCTTGGGAAGCTGTTTCCTATAGATTCATTTCGACTAGCGCATAAAGGTGAAAAAGCATTAAGTCTAAGAATGTGACCCCAGGAGCTCATTTGCTCTCTCTGCTAATTTCACAGAGTGAGATGATATCTGGATCAGACCCTTGTCTCTGCCCTCCTGCACCCCCTGCCCCTGGAGGAGAGGCTAAGCAGTTTGCTCAAAGCCTCAAGGCTGGAGGACAAAAGAGCACCCTTTTGGAGTGAGTCCAATGTTCCTTTTCTTACTTGGGGCTGGAGATCTTCCTGCAGCCTACACAGCCTCTTCCTAGGACAGATGGAGCTGGGCAGAACTGTGGGGACAGGCTAAGGTCATAGACACAGGTGGTGCTGAGCATCTGGGGTGAGGGGAAGCGACAAGGGGATATCTGCAGCATTGTCCTGCTAAGCAGGAGTCTTTTTCTAACTCCTGGAAGATACCGAGTAGCCCTGCTATACTCCTGAATGTCTTCCTGGAAACACAAGGTGAACTTTGGGGGGAAAGTGGATGCGGAAAACTCAGCCTGTACGCCTTCCCCGCCCCTGCAAATGAGACACGAAAACACGGTTTGAACCCGCTGCTGAGGTTTCCATGGTGGCTCCACTCGGCCGCCCTTCCCATTGGCTAAGACGCCCTGCTCTGGTTTTAACAGAGGCTCAGATACGGGTCTCTTTCCTGATTGGCCAGCTTGTGCTGCAGCGCCATGGCAACAGAGACAGGGGGACCAGTCTCTGCCGGAAATTGAGTCACCATCTACCTGGGGTGGGCTACGATCCATGGGGCTGCGTGTACGGGGTGGGAGGAGGGACAGGTAACTCCTGAGCCGGTTTATAGGCAAGCGTTGGACTTCCCACACTGGTTACTCGGGGAGCTTTGTGGGCTGGAGGCGGGCGGGGGTGCCTTCTGCTCAGGTCTGTTTTGTATCTCGCAGCATCCTCTTAGTCCCCTCTTTTCTCTGAGACTTCTATGTCCCCCAGAAGGAAAACAAACCTCTGGCAGCACCAGAAGTTAACTCATTTGCCCAAATTCATATAAATGGCAAGCCAGGATTTGAGATTATGTTGTATTGCCTGACTTAAAGGCTTCCAAGGGCTATTGTGAGAGAACCCAGGGGTCTTTTCATTAAAAAAAAAAAAAAAAAACAAAAACAAATGACTAACCCTCTTTTTATTTGTCAAACACCAAATGCTTTTCAAAATACTCTTCCATCTAAAATATCCAATCATCTCAACAGACTGAGGGGTTGTATAGGTCAGGATTGAATGTCTCACCTACACATAAAGTCACCAGAGCTCAGAGAAGTCCCGTAATTTGTTTTGTGTCCCAGAGTTGGAATGCCCACCCTTCTGAACCCTTGTCACGGCCACATAGCCAAATGTTGCCTTCTCAAGTGCTCCAAGAAAAGGAATTATATTTGGCTCTGAGCCTCCATGTGTGTGCTGGGAACTGAGCCCCGGGTCTTCTGCAAGAGCCATAAGTGCTCTTAACTACTGAATCCAGTCCTCTCACAGTCTTAAATCAGGATTCCAAAAACAAGGGCACTAGACTTGGGCCATGGGGTGCTCTCCCTGCTCCCGCAGAGAGCAGACAGTGGCCTATACCTGCTCTGGGAGCTGACTCTCCTGTTCTTGGATGCATACTTTTCCTGCTCCCACAAAGAGCAGACAGTGGCCCGTGTCTGCTCTGGGAGCTGACTCTCCTGTTCTTGGGTGTATACTGTTTCTTTAACTGAAGCTGCAGTTATGGATCAATTTCTTGGTAGACTCTGAGGACTGTATTTGCGTGAAGGAATCTGAAATAGTTGTTCCCCAAGGAGTGACTCAGCATCCCTAGCCGGAGGGTATGGGCAGTAGAAATAGAGGAAAGAAACCCCCAGTGGCTTTAATAGTTGAAATCTAAGCTGAAAATAGTCTGGAAGTTCTCTTTCTTTCCTGTTCAGCTTGGGTTTCCTGAAGTTCTTGCCTTGGAAACAGCCCAGTCACTAGGCCCACCCTCTTGCCCTTCCTGGAGCACTGCTCTTGAAGATGACCTTGTAAAAAGTTCACACCTGCCACTCCGCTCTCCTAAATGCCACACCAGCAAGGAGCAGACACAGTTTCTCTACAATAGTTAGAGACATCTTTCCTGCCCCAGGCACCAAGACAGCACCTGAGACACTGGGGGGATGTGGGGAACAGCCTGGGGTGGCTCTGCTTTTATGAAAACTGCAGCCTAGTGGTCTTCTCTTGAGGGACTGTCCCAAAGTGACTCCATCAGGTTCTCAGATGGTAATGGAAGACTTGAATTGGATGGAACAGGGTAATGGGACAGTCACAGAGTAGTGGTGGATAGGGGTTGGAGGGAGGATTGAGGTGGTACAAGATGGCTAGACATGAGTGCTGGGAACTGAACTCCAGTCTTCTGCAAAAACACTCTTAACCGCTGAGAATCTCCAGCCCTGAGATGCCTGTTCTTGGTGCTGGGTAAAGGTCCGCACCCCACGTGAAACTCCATTGGAAATATTCCAATCAGAGATATCCCAAGTGCAAAGACCCTGAAGTAGGACAGAATCTGCTGATCTGAGCCTTGAGTAACACATTTCTCCACTTTCTGAGTTTCCTAGTTTGTGGAGTGGGAACTACAGATGCCTCCCTGCTTCCTAGGTAGGTATACAGAGCGCAAGGGGCCCCCAAAGCACACAGGGTTTTAAAAGAGGAGGGGGCTCCCTGACTCCATTAAGGCCTATAAAATGCCTTTGGGAAGGCTTAGGATTTTGGTTGCTGGCTCTTGGTGGGCATCCCCACACTTACTGGTGTTTGTTGAGGACCACCGGGGAACAGGGCAGCAATGCTCAGTGCCTGGGGTCACAGGAGAGTCTGGGGGAGGAAGGCCTTGCTAAGCTTATGACATGAAACGATGGCTTGCTGCTCTGGATGGTGGCTGAGGAGAAAAAAGCTGGGAAAATTCTGGGGCTCAGGGAAGGCCTGGAGGAGATGAGATTCCAACTGGGCCAGGGAGGGGCTTGTAGACACACAGATTTGGCTGAAGTAACGGAAGCTGTTGGCAGGCAAAATGGCAGGGGCTGTTTGTCGACTTCCTACTTTTTACCAAGTAAACAAGACAGACATGGGAAAACTCTTAGGGCACCAGGGGACCCAAAGGAGGTGCCAGGGCTGGAGAAGCTTCCAGGAGGAA